CGCTTAAAAGTTGGTGCTCATTTTCCTATGCCACAGTGCATCTCAGAAAGAAACTTCTTAGGGAATGTGTGTGTTACGACAGCTGGGTTCTTACTGTTTTAGCAGTAGTGTGAACAGATGAAGCAGACATGAAGGGGGAAATGGCAATGTATGCTGTGTGACAGGCACTATGGTAAGCATGTCATCTTCACTGAAAGCATTTATGAAGGTTTTCTCTTTTGAAAATGAGCCACCTGGGCCATGAAGAAGTTAAGTGACTTGACCGCAATCACAACCTAACCCAAGTGGTAGCATCAGGATTTCAGTCCAGATCTGACTCAGAACTCAGATGAGTTCTTAACTACCATGTGATTTTAAGCTGGATAACATGGAAATACGTTTAAATATATAAGGAATATATATACAGGTAATAAGAGATCAGGTCAGTGCTAACTCCTACAGTATAGATGTCCCAGGTTGAATAAAATAGTTTCCTAAAATCTCTACATTTATAAGAATGACATAGGACAGATGGCTGCAAGAGGTATAGTGAAGCTTATGTATACCTTAGCTATTGGGGCAAGAAGTATACATTTTAGTACTTGTACTAAAACTAACATATAAATTAATGACTCTTGATAAGGAAAATAAAAGCATTATTGGTGATTTGGGTGTTACAAACATTGCTTTGCCTAGCAAAATGCCAGAATAGGTTGATTATTTGACTTGACATCATTTCATGGGAATTCTGTTAGGTGATTAGGGAATTTGTGATCCCTCTGAAAACATTAACCAAAAAATAGAAGAGAACTTTTCACAGTGTAAAACAGTGTTTAAGAGTTTGGAGCCAGAATCATCCCTGGCTCTCTCTTTTACTAGCATGGTGACCTCAGCAAATTACTTAATCTTTCTGCCTCAATTTCCTCAGATGTAAAGTGGGGATAATGATCATACCTTTGGCAAAGCAGTGTTCTGATGATTGAGTGCATAAATGTAAAGCACTTAGAGGCTGGCACAGCAAGTGCTAGGAAAGCATTTGCCACCACGTTGCGGTCTTCCTTGCTGCAGTTACTTTAAAGGTAGTAAGAGTCTTTTAAATTGCAAATGCCCCCGAATGTCATAAATCATTGCACAAAACTTTTCAGAAGCCACCACTTAAGTAAGAATCCCATTGAAATATCTAGCAGGCAGGTGCTTGTGGACAGACTTCTGGGCAGGGCACTGGAGGTGCATCCAGAGAGAAGAGGGGGTTGAAGGACTCACATTTGCGAAATGCCTGCTGTATGCCAGGTGCTTTGCCCACCTTAACAAAGTCCTCCAGAGGGAAGGAAGTAGGATGAAGCCCCGTGTCACACACCTGGGAGTGGTAGACTGTGCTCACCAGTACCTGCAGAGTCTCTCAGGCACTGGGGTGCTGGTGAGTGAGGGAGGTGCCTCTAGGAACCTTGCCCTATCCAGTGTGGAACCAGCATTTTGGTCCCCACACACCTGACTTGGAACATTCGAATCTGATCTACAGTTTGCTCATGGATGGCGGCAGCCCTCGTGCCCACACTCTAAGGGCCCTCGTGAGTGTGCACACGTGTTGATGGGAAGTTGAGGGGTGTGGGGAGGCAGCCACAGCCTTCAGCTGCAGTATCATGCAGATGCTGGGGACGTGAGAGCTAAAAGGCACTCTTAAATTGCACAAATGCAACATGGATTTTAAAAGAATCTGAGGCAAAAGGGACTCTCCAAAAAAACCCATGTGAGCCGGGAGGGGACTGCCACTATGGCTAACAAAGTGGGGAAGCAATTTTGCAAAATAAGAAAACTAGTGTCAGGCTAACCAGAGATGCTAACAAACCTGAGATTCCAGGCAGATCTAAATTAGAAATCGGTCAAGGGAAAACACAGTGATAGTCTCCCTTATGGATTCCAGTAAGAATTCTTTAAATTCATGGTCCTGATGGAGTAGCAGTAGGAGAGAGAGGCCCTGGGGATGCATAGGCCCTCAGTGGTTCAGCTCTGCTCACTAGACACTCAGGCAGGTGAGGTTGGGCGCTAGGAATCCCGTGGGGACTGGATGCCTGCCTACGTGGCTCTCAACCCTAGGTGAATCTTATCGTCTTCACCGTCTTCTTCCCCTTCCCTCTCTGGACCCTCTGCTTGCTCTGTGAACCTGGATTGATCTCCACTCGCCCCTCACTCCTGAATGGGGCCCTCGAAGGGAGAGGCCCCTGGCTGTGCTGATGTCGTGAACGCTGCTGGGCCGGACTGGTGTCTGCAGGAGGACAAAGCAAAGGCTGGTTCTGACTTTGGTTTGAAGGTGATTTTCCCACAGATTCCCCCTTGGCACGATGCTTTTACCTCATTTGTCTGTGCCTTTGGCTCTAATCTTAACGTCTTAATTACATTGTGTTTACATTTGCACGGTACCTGTGGTCTGGCACTTGAAGACTGGATGAAGAGTTACACAAATATTTAGACTCAGGGAGTGCTAGTGGAGGGAGAGAGCCTGGAGACTAGCCACTCCAATGCCCTCATTTGCCTTTGCTCATGTCCGTCTCATCAAGCAGGGACGCTGCAGGTGGGAAAGAAAGATGGCGAGAGGACAGCCAGTATCACATTTTCCTTCCCAAGACAGGGATGAAAAGCCACCAAGACGGCTTTTGTGAAAATCCGGAAGGACAAGAAAAGCCCAGTTTAGTCATCGGATCTCATTTCATCTATTGTTAACCTTGACGAGTGGCGAGCCCACTGTTCCTGCCAAGCTCTTCAGTACCCAGCTAGATGGGCACCCTGAACAGAAGTGCTTCTGGGCTAGTGCCATAGGGACTGCTGTGAGTACCAGGGTGGCCTCAGGCAAGGCTCCGGTCTTTTCTCGAATGGCTTCCCAGGCCTGAGGAGGCACAGGTGAGAAAACGTATGTGGAAGCTCTCTACACACCGTGAAGTTCATCCAAATGGAGCGGGATGGTCTCTGGTCTGCTGTGCCCACCCCCTCCCCAACCCATAAATAACAGCAGCCCTTCCAACTCTCCTTCTGATCCCGTGCTCAGTGTTGGGGGCCTTGCGGTGGGCAGCCAGGGCCAGCATGGCCAAGCCCTGTCAGTTCCCTTCCCTCTGAAGGTGAACTGGACAGCGTTTGTTCTCTGTAGTGTGTGATTTGGATTTAGACAAATTCAAAAACTGCCGGATTTCAGAGCGTGTTTGTCACTGCCGTCATCGTTCTCTTGTTCAGGCAGCAGTGAGAATCTGCTCAGCACTTGTGAGCACTATATGCTGAAATGCCTGAGAAGGCTTTCCTCCCTGCAGGGCCCTGGGCTCAGCACCTTTTTCAGGCTCCAGGAAGCTCATATCCCGCTGATGGACGGCTCGTGGTCATCGCAGCACTATGGAAAACCCGCAGCTCCTGGCATCATTTACAAGCCACTCAGGTAATTTCACTTTTGGAAAAGTTCTGTGAACGTATTTCTAACTTTTGTCTTAAGAGTAACGTGGCTAGCTGGTGAATATTTATTTCCAGCCTCTCCAATGCACCGGGATTCACTGTCTTCCCACTGATTAGCTGCTACACTCAAAGCATCACCATGCTGGCTGAAGTCTGGTCTTGGTTTTAGTGATGTTTGCTGTCAGTGGGCGTTAAAGTGGTGTTCAAAACTCACCCCACCTATCAAAAGCATCTTTTCAAATGAACGGTTAATTCGTATTCTAGATGTGAATATGCCTTTGGAAAAAAGTAGACCCTCGTAAGGGAAGAACAAGTAAGTTCTCTGCGACTAGCTCAGTGGGGATGGGGTTGGAAAGGGCTTTTGAAGGTTTTGAGTTGCATTTCCTTGGCGTCTACACGGCGGTTTCATGGAGGCTGCCTGAGGGCCTAGTCTCTACTGGCCACAGCAGAGTGGACGTTGTTTAGGAGCTGAGGTTCCCACTTAGGCCAATTGGCCCCTAAAGTTTGAACATGTAATCATTTGGTCTCCTTTTCTAATGAATGTACTCCAGCGTGAAAACTTCTCAGCGTTAAAGTCACACCTCAATAAAATGGCATCTTTCACCAGGCACGTTGAAGTCCTAATGATGTCTACCTTCTTTGGAGCAGGAGGCCACATGCCCAAGACTGTCACATCTATGTCCCCACATGGCTATTGGTCAGTGAAGCTGTGAAATCTTTCACTTCTGCCTTTATTTATACCTGTGTTCAACTACACGTGAGCAACCCCCTCTGAATTTCTTTCCTTAACCCAAATATAACCTGGCATTTGATGGCACAGCAGGCAGGAAGTGCTGACAGGGGCCCCTGCCTCCCCTACCACCTCTCCCTTCCTCTCAGTGGGGAGAGGAGTCCTAGGCCTGCAGGAGATGCCCTGCATGGGGTTTGATGGCAGACAGGCCTGCTCTGAAACTCATCTCTGTTCATTACCAGCTGTGTGGCCTTAGGCAAATAATTCAACCTCTCTGTGCCTCAGTTCCTTCACCGGTACGATTAAATGCGATAATGTTTGTATGGCGCATATCCCAGTGTGGCACACAGAGAGTGCCATCATTATTAGCTATGCAGGTCAAATCAGTTCACTTCTGGCCTGCAGCTTGTCCGCACTCACCTGCTTGGGTCCTTTCCATTATCTGTGTTCCATGCCTGTGTTTTCACCTTTCTTTCTCGTGGCATATAAACACGTTTGGCTCATCTGTTTAGAGCATCCTTCCCTGGACCTGGTCTTTTCTGTTCTGATGCTGGATTTTGTATCCCCTTCACTCCTGGTCCCTACTCAGCCCTTGTTCCTCAGCCTCCTGTCCTGGGTGCACCTGCTCCCCAGCCCCATACACTGACTCTTGCTACGGTCACTAGTGTTCTCCCACTGGCCGCCACAAGGACCGCAGTCTTCAGCCAACATTATCTCTATAGCAAGGTGCTGTCCCCTGCTCAGGGGAGTTCTCTGCCCTCTGTGACTCCCCTCCCCAGCACCCTGAAGGCTGGGTGCACTGTTCTTCACACCAGGGCCAGGGCCCCCTGGCCCAAGCTGCAAATCAGACCAGGACACATTACCAGTGAAAGTGTTTAATAGTTAAATTATTTAAATAGACTTTTCAATTTCCATGGGAAATCATAATCGTATCTGTTTTTGCAAGAGTAGGAATAAAAAGAGTGCACACCCCTTAGAGGGAACGAAGAGCTAGCACTGCACCTGCACGCTGTCACCAGTCACTGCTGGGATGAGAGAGGGGTCCCCATGGGGCCGGGAGGCCATGACCATGGGGGAACACGGGATGAACTCAGCACACACACTTTACTCAGGTTGGAAGCAGAACGAAAACCCAACACCACTGGCAGGCGATGTGGAGGGGCAGGGAACTTGAGAACAACAGCTGGAAGAAAGCGGGCCTCCAGCCCTCGACGGCAGGATGGCAATGCAGAACTCAAAGGATGGAGCAGCAGAAGCACGGGACAGACTCAGGCTTGGCAGTTTTGGGTCCGCACACTTTGTTTCTCAGAGCTGTGTTCAAATTGTGGTGGGATTAGTGTGCGGCGAGGGGAAGGTGGTGCTAGAGCCCAGTGAGAGGTGGTGCAGGTGGATATCAAAGTCACATTGTGGCAGCTGGCACAGAGCCACCGCCTCATCGCCTCCAAGCTCATGTTGGAGGTGAGGATCATTCTAACCTGAGAAGCAATGGGAAGATTTGGGCATGGGCCCTAAGGAGTCCATCAAATTCTGTGGTAGAGTATCATTTTCCAAATGCCTTCCTCATAGCTTATAAAAATAGTATTTTTTTCTTGGTATATTTAACTGCCTCCTCCCGATAAAACAAAATTCCTGCTAGCTTTCCCTGTGGACTCTAAAGCTGGGCTCTACCCATTCCTCTGCCCGGTTTGCCAGAGGAGGAATGGAGGAATGGAGGTCAAGGCCACTCCCTTTCTTCAAACCTGAGGGCTGCACATTGCAACCCTGTCTGAGTGCAACCCTGTCTGAGTGAACAGCTCCCGGAAGAGCCACCTGCACCTTGGCCAACTGAGTAGGCCAGGCAGGCTTGGCTTTCTTGCCCCAGCCTGCAAAGCACCTGGCCTTCTGTAAGCACTCCAGAATCCGGGGGAGCTGCCTCTGTAAGCAGCAAACGTCTGAAATCTCAGGGCGTGGAGGGTGGAGGGCGCCACACTGCCTGCCTCAGGATGAGGTTGCTTCCCTTGGTTCCAGCTTGGCCTGGGATGGGAAAGCAGCTTTTTGTTTTCTTACCATTCCGTCTGCATTTTGCTTAGGGGAAGCAGGGTGTGTGCATGTGTGTACACACGTGTGCGTGTGTCAGAGAAAGATGGGGCAATGTGTCCATGCATCCTCCTCCTTAAGCTGAGCATATGGTACCCCAAAAGCACACACCCACTGCTCTGGTGGTACCTGCGAAAACCCAAAACTGCCAAATCTGAAAGGAGGGAAACGCATCCTGTGTGAGACCAGTTCCACAGCATGAACACACGCACATATACACCAGTACATACGCCAACATACGCACAGTACAAATGAGCACACGCCTCGCTGTGCACGGCTGTTTGTTTTCTAATATAGAGAATTTACAAAATATAGAATTTGGCATATCTGTGAGATCTCCAAGGCTTTCAATAATACAAAATAAAAAATACAAAAAAGACAAGTGGGGATCCCTGCCCTCCCCCCGAGTGGCGTCCTCGTTTGCTTGTGGGTCTCTTACACGCATACAACTAGCATAGTCTAAAGAAGGGCACGGAGAACTTGTTTTGTTTTATTTAATAAATATTTTTCTCAGAATCACCACTCCTTGCTTGGCGTCCTCTTGCCTCCCCCTCATAATTAGTTCTGTTTCCCTCCTAGGGCACTGTCTGTGTGCGTGGAGGTGTGGGCAGAGGACCACGATGAAGGCCACAGTCCCTCCAAAGCCAGCACTCCTGCCCCAAAGCCCCTGCAGGCGCAGGGTGGCGGCCTCTCTGTCTGAAGTTTAAAGGCTCACATAGAAAAGCAGACCCCTGGGGTCCCTAGGCTCCCCCAGGCCAGAGTCGAGCCCGTCTACCCCCAGCTGAGTCGGAGGCCCCTCCCTCAGCCCTGGCCTTGTCCGGGCCGCGCCACACACACATTCCCACGGCTCCTTTCCACCTGTGCAGCAGCACCTGTTAGAAAACTCAAGCTTCAGACCCAGTCTAGCAGAGTCTTCTACAGAGGGAAACATCTTTGGTCAGCTGGGTGCTCGCAGGACGCTGGCACCCCAGGGCCTGGGACGGAGGCCGCTGCCCACCAGCAAAGGCAGCAGCTGCTCTGGAGTCCAAGTGGAAAATCTCAACAGTGCAGCCCTGCGGGCTGGAGCATGGCTTCCCCGCCACCCCCGGCACACAGAGAAGCTGCTTCCGTGACTCTGGAGGCCAGGCTGCCTGGCACCGTTGGCCAACAGCTGCTAACTGAGCGGGGGCCCTCCATTGAGGAAGTAGGTCATCATCTCGCCTTTGCCCTTGACCTTGACCACGCCCCGGCACTCCAGTTGGTACGTGTTGGCGGCCAGCACCTGGTACATGTCCGTGGTGACCTGTGGGGGAAAAGGAGGAGAGGGGACAAGCCACTGATGGCCTTGGCCATGAACTGCTGTGGGGTAGAACCACCTCTGACTGCCCAGCCCTGCTGCCACCCCTGACACAGAAGGAGGGGGCAGCTGCCCCACTGTGGCGCTCTCAGAAAGTGACAGCAGCTCACCGTGGAAGGGATCCTAAGAAAAGAGTGATGCCAGCTCTCACCCTCAGCACCTGTTCGTGCCAGGCACTGTGACGGGCAGCTTGCGTGTGCTGCTTCAGTGCCACTCAGTGTGGCCTGTGGTCCATGGACTGACTGCCCTGAGTCCAGGGAAGTTCAGGAGTGGAGAGTAAGGGCGGGGGAGCTTTCACAGCCATCTGACCTGGCTGCAGCCCGTCTCTAAGGGTGTCCCCGGTGCGCTGTACAAAAGCATCCCTCCGTGACAGATCAGAATGATTTTTAAAAGCTGTTTTTCACCACAGGTCGTTTGAGAGCCTTTGCTTATCTCACTGCATCTTCCTGTGAGGTGACTACTATTATTACCCTCAGGCTCAGAGCATCTAAGTCACGTGCCTGAGGTTACACACTTAATAAACGGCAGGGCCTGGGTTTAGGTCCAGGTCTTGTTACCTGGCTCTGCTTTAGCTTTTAGAACAAAGAAGGGAGCTCACTGATGGCTTCATTAATTTCACTATCCCATTGCTGGGTGAAAGAGGAGAGTGGCGGGGGACAGGTGTGGGGAGTGGCAGCATGGCCAGTGCCTCCTGTGATGATCCAAGAGCCGTTTGTGAGCGTCATCAGAGCTCCCCATCCCAGCCACGCTGCAAGCCCGCTGCTGGGAGCACCAGGGGGTAGGGGCGGGAGTGCTGGGTGGGCTGCTGAGAGGGACCCCACTGTGTTACTAGCTGCAGTTCCTGTGTGGCAAAGCCCCACGCAAGGTAAGGTGCTGGGTCATTGTGGTGGCTGCTGTCCCTTGCACCTGTCCCTGAATGGGCTGGAAGCCTTGGAAACACACATGCCTCTCGCTCCTATCTCTAGGCCCATCCCGCTGCCCTCCTCAGCAGGAGGAGGTGAGAAAGGGCCATCAAGGCCAGGCCCCTCGGCCAGCTTCCACACCCCAGCTGGGTCAGGTTGAGTGGACCAGGACTGTGCTTGGGGTCAGGCTCTTTATTCAGAGGCCCTGTGGGGGAGAGAAGTCGGGACATTTAAGCAGTATCATCAGTGGTGGCAAAAGGCCTTAGAAGCAGCACAGTTAGCACCTGGAAAAACTGAGGCCAGGCGAGCTGACTTCCCAGAGCCTCACACAGAACTGTGGGTGAGGGCCTTGCAGGGGACTACTGCCCAGAGCAGTGCCTCTGCCATCAGACTACAGCAGGGAATCAAGGAAGGCTCGAGAAAAAGCAGCAGCTGAAGAACAGCAGGCCTGGAAACCACAAGCCCAGCTTGCAAAGGAGGGAGCAAGGGGAAAAGGCCTCTGAGTCTCTGGCCAGGGCCCTTGGCTGCTGGGGCTGGGGGAGGCACCATCCCAGGGCCAGCAGCCTCCACTGGCTCTCCTGAGCCAGGCCAGGAATGATGCAGGCTCAATGGGTAAGACCTGCTCCCTGCAGACATCTTTGTATCCTCTCTGTGTGCCTGGGCTAGAAGGCACTGGGGCCTGCATGTGCACTCTCAGCTCGGCCTCTACAATCAGATCCACTCCCAACAGCCCCCAATCCCTTCCATGCCCAGTAGAGGGCTCTGCAGAAGCCTGAAGATCTGTCCAAGGTGCTGAGGGCCTGAAACACAATTGTGTTCTCCAAGCTTCCAAGTGTCAACAGCCCCCAACACCCTTGAATCTGGCTGCAGAGATTCTGAGTGGGAACTTTGGGTGGCCTGTCCTGAAGACCTCTCGGTGTCAGACACAGGCCCTCCCATGGGGGTGAGGGGTGGTGGATTCTCCTGCACTCACCTGGATGCGGTCAGGTACACCAGTGCTGTCCATGCGGCTGGCCACGTTCACGGTATTGCCCCAGATGTCGTACTGAGGCTTTCGTGCCCCTATCACCCCGGCCACCACGGGGCCGATGTTGAGCCCTGCAGGGGAGAGGAATCAGCCACACTCATCAGGTTAGGACTGACACACGTCTGGCTTGACCTCGCCACCATCTCTCTCTCCACATGCCACAGGTCCTGACTCCCAGCCTGAGACACCCATGGGCCTCCAGGCCCAAGGCCGTGCTTAACCCTGCAGCCTCCCGCTTCTCTGCTCCTATCAAATGCCTGTGAATGCAAGACACAAGGAGCCTGCACCTGTGTCCTCGACACCTCTCAACCAGGAGCGCCCTCTTCAAGGCCTCCTGTATAATGCAGTTGCCTTTCCCTAATCCTCTTCCTCTTGCAGCCATTTAGGCTCAACCTATCAGACTGGCTGTCTCCCTCTTCCTCATTTTTCTGTTTCTTTCCTCGCTATTCTCACTCTTAGATCCTGGCCAACTCATCGCCCTGTGCCAGTCTCCTCTCTCCGAGTACTCCTGCTCCCCCGCCTCTGAGCTGGGGCAGGCACACTGCAGCGACCAAGCTCCAGCCACCACTTCGGCTCTCCTCCGCCCACCTTCCCAATCCCACCCAAGGCAATGCTGAGCGTCACTGCCTCTGAGCCTTCGCTAAGCTGCTTCTCTCTCCTGAGGCGTTCTCTTTCCTCCTCCCCAGGCTAAATCCTGCCCCCACGTATCTGGTTCAACTGATATTCTCTAGACATTTCCTGTCCTGTCTCCAGGCATGGGGCATTCCTTTCTATGTAACCTGCCGGTCTCATACTGTCCTCACTAAGCACCACTGTTGCCTGTTTCTTGTATGTGAAGGGCACGACTGAAAACACAGCAGAAGCTCCAAACTAGGCCCCTGGTGACCCTCACTTGGTCAGCAATGCCATCAGTCCTCAGGACTTCCTTCCATGACCCCTCATCAGTCCTTCCAAGCCACAGGCAGCTCTATACCCCATGTGCCATCACCAGACTGGACTGTCCATCTTGCCGACTGGACTGAGCCCTGATGGCTTCTATATCCCAAAGCCACGCCACCCAGGGAAGATAGGCCTGAGTCTGTAGGAAGGGAGCTGCCACACAGGCTCCCAGCTGCCTGCCCGGCTCCTTATCTACCTCTTGGCAGATTCTACACTCAGTCCCCAGGCCTGGTCCAATCAAGGAGTTGAGGCTTTTCAAAAACACACACTGGGAGAAAAACGCAAACCAAAGCAGGCGGACAAAACACAAACCAAAGCAGGATGGGGTGAAAGGAAAACAAGAATGTCAGTGTTACACAAGACCAAGAGTGTATGACGTTAATGCAAAAATGTAGGCTGCACATCACTTAAAGCGAACTCCCAGCTGGCTGTCTCGGGGCCTCCAGCAGCCAGTGCAGGATGCAAACCTGGCCAAGCCCACAAAGCACTGTGCCTATGGGATACAGCAAGCCAGCTGGCCCAGGGAAAGCCCGATTCCTGACACTCTGGCTGCAACAAAATGTCTCCTAAGGACACGAATGATCACAATACTGGTTTTTAGTCATCCAATATTTCGGTATAACGTGTTAATTTTGAGAACTGAAATGCCCGTATTTTTGTGGGTGATAATTGTGATTTTTAAAACTTTGAAATCTGAATCACTGATGGTTTGAAACATACCCAAGGAGTTGATAATGCATTAAATGGCGAATAGAACAAAGGCCTGCTCGTTCAGAAAGCATTCTTTACCTCCACAGACCTCAGGAGGAGCAACACTCCACTGCGTCAGCTTTCTATTGCAAGACCAACTTGTGCGCCATCAGACTGTACACCCTCGGTAAGATCCATTCTAAGGACAAACAAACTGCAGAAATGCCTCGAGCTTTGTGGAACGAGTTCAGAGCTGGCATTCCACAGTCATTTTATGGACACAGGAGGGTGGAACACACGGGGCAGTGTGTACCTGGGTTTTCATTGTACCATTTTTTCAACTCTTCTCTAGAGTTGAAACTTGTCAAAATAAAAGGTTAGGGGTAATGAAACAAAACTGACTTAGAAAAAAAAAAGAAAAATACATATGTTTTTGGTTCAAAGACTTTCTGAGCAAGAATATGGTCATGACTATTTTGAAACTGATTCAGGACCTCTGTCGGACGCCACAGAGGCATTGGCACAGCCCCTCCAGAGCCATCCAACCAAGGCGAGGCACGTGACAAAGAAGGAGTCCAGGCAGATCCAGGGCTCTGACCTATCACAGGCTTCTCACCGTTTCTTTCCCTGGTTTGTGTGGATGAACAGCCGCTGGAAGATTTTGCTCCCCACCTCGACTCAACAATAACCCTACTTGAAACTTGTGTAAAAAGAGTAAAAAGTTACTCTTTTTAAAAAGTTGGAATAGAATCATTTCACAGTCACTATCACACGATTCTTTGAATGTTTAGTTTTTTCAAACTGTTTCACTTTATTTTGCTAACGATTTTGCAGCTTACATGTTTAATGTTCTAAATTTGCAAATTTAATGACTGGTAACATGTTTATGCATTTTGTATTTAAAATGTATCCAGTATTTGATTTTACTGTTTTCCATTTTTACTGAATGAATGTGGAATACTTTTAAATAAAACAATGCTGTTAGGTCAGTATGACTTGAAATAAATGGGACTGCCATCTGCCCGTGCTGCGACCACCAGAAGGCCCCATGCCCTCGGCACAGAGTACCCCCCACAAAGCCCTTCGAGCAGGCACAGCCTGGGCCCCACCAGGCCATCCCTGCATCTGAGTGAGGTGGGAACTCACCAAGGAGTGTCCTGCCCATGTGGCCCTCATGTCAAAAGGCAGCAGAGGCATCGCCAGGCTCTGGGCGGGTTCCACTGTGAGTGACCCATGCCTGCCCCCACCTACTAAGGGCAGGGAACACGCCACATCAGCCTCGGCTGCCCCTGGCCTTCTACCTTGGGACCACAATGGCGGATGCGGGCTGGGGTATGGGGGAGCTCCTGCCAGCCCTCCTCCTGACTGCACCGTGGGCTCAGCACTGCCGGGGGCCCCACTCACCGATCTTCATCTGGAAGTTGTTGAAAGAGTGCTCATTGATGTACTTCATCTGGTCCATCAGCTTCATGGCAAAGTCGGCCAGTGCCTTGATGTGGGTCTTGCCCACCTTGTCGTAGGTGGAGTCGTTGAGGCCGGAGGCAGCCATGTAGGTGCTGCCGATGGTCTTGATCTTCTCCAGCTGCCGGAACCGATCCTCGCTGATGATCTGGATGAAAGAGGCCAAACCTGGGTCACCCTCAACCCTGGGACACCGAGGGCCACAGGGAGGGACAGAGGATGTGCAGGGAAGTGCAGCAGCATGGCCCTTCATGTGTCCCCTCTTCACACAGTGGGCCTGTCTCCACCCTCATCAGTGTGATGCTTGCAACGCTCCTGACACAGCCAGGCCCCTCCACACTCTCACCCGCCGGACAGTGCCTGCGGGCTACCTGCCCACCCTCATGCCAAGAGCCCTGAAGACAAGGTCACTAGTCACCTCTGAATCTCTTGTCTCCTCTTCAACAAGCTCACGCCCCCATCCCACCCAGGGAAACCTCCATTTGTCCAGCAGGACACTCTTTCCCTACCCTCTGGCCCCAGCCCTCCTAGAAGCCTTCCCAGACTCAATTCAGCCAAATCCCATCACTCCACTGCCCCAGGAGTCTCGCAGGCTGTTCCCAACACTGCCTGGCCCAGCTCCATCGTCTTGCTCCTCTCTGCGCCCTGTGTCCAGGCCATGCCAGCCCGCTGGGGTGGCCCCTCTGACACCGATGACTCAGGAGCTCCCGGGGGCGAGACTGCGCTACAGGGATCCGCATCCCCAGTTCCTCCACACGCCGGGTGCTCAACAGGGGTATGAGAAGGAAATGAAGGAATGCCTCAATTTGGCCTCCACTGCTCAGGGCCTCGCGTCTTTGTCCTGCCTCCTCCCTTAGCCGAGGGACTCCTCCTTCCTTTGGTTCTCTCAAAGCCCTGGGTCCTGACACTGAGTTGTCCCAGGCCCTGGGGCCCCGTGCCCCCTTGATGGCATGAGAGGAATGGCAGTCAGCGAGCCAGTCAGGCGGCCGCCAAAGGCTAAGTTCAAATAGTGTGGGCTGAAACCCCAGCTCTGCCACTTACTGGCAGTGACCTTAGGCCAGACACTTGAAGTCTGTCGGCCTCAGTTTCCTCATCTGTCACATGATGATGAGACAGGCCATGTGTCCAAGGTGCCCATTGCAGCACCTGGGGACATAGTCAGGTTCCTGCCGGCAGAGCTCTCATCATCACTGTTTATGTCAGGATGGTAGAAGGGGACGCCAGGTCTCTTCACATCCCTCCCACACCAGGGACCTGTAGGCCCCTCCCAGGAACACAGCCTGACCCAGGCCCCACTGTGCACCTCATCAAAGTCAGCGATGATCTCATTGAGTAGCCGCAGGCACTCGACACCCTCGTTGTTGGCCTCCAGCTCAACGTAGAACTCGGAGAAGTTGGCGATGGAGGCGAACATGACCGCCACGCACTCACAGGACTGATAGTAGAGCTCATCGTTGCGCCGCTCGCGGGCCAGGAAGTGAGCAGCCACATCCTTGGGCAGGATGTTGTGCAGCAGCCGCCGGTTGTAGGCCTGCAGCTCCTCCATCTCCTCCTTCTCCTCTGTGGCCTGGGAGAAAAAGACTGCAAGTCACCCAGATGCCAGCACGAGCCCAGGTGTTGGCCCCTCCACCTCCTCCTCTCCATGGCCCGGAGAAAAAGCGCCAGTCACGCAAATGCCAACTCGTGCCCAGGATGTTGGCAAGTACCACTGTCTCTCCTCCTCCCTCTGCTGTTTCCACTTCCAGGTTTTCTCCAAAGAGCAGGACTTCGACAATCAGAAAAGACATTTCTGAGCATTGAACTCTCTGCCGGCCTCTCTGGGGGTGCTGAGCCTGCAGGGGGGAGCCCCGAGCAGGAACAGGCCTGGAGGCGAGGCTGCAAGGATCCTGTCTGCCAAAGGCCAGAACCAGGCTGGAGGGGAAAAGAATCCAAAACACAGCCCACACAGCCCTCCAGCTCCGCAGTGCTCCTCCACTGTTCATTACCTTAATTGACGGACCTGTGGGGGAAAACAGTCCAAAGCCCTGCCCAATGTCCCTGCCTCCCAGGAGGGCAGATTTGCCCCAGAGCCAGGTGCAGCCAGGAGGAGCAAGTGCCATGAGGGACCCCCTGGGATGAGGATGGGACATCACCAGTGACTTTAGTTTACCCCCCAGTTTGGGTCCTGGGTCTGTGCAGTGGGATTTTGTGGTCACCCACCCTCCAGGTTAAAGGATAGTGCAGATCCCTTGCGTCAAGAAGCCAGTAGTGCCCTACAAGGTGCTGAAGGGAAGAGGTGTCACACACTGAGGTGTGGCAAGGAACCATCTAACAAGAGTCTTCATGAGACACTGCATTGTAGTGGTCAGCTGGCTTCCTCACCCGTGGGGGCAGATAACATGGCCCCCTTTAACTGGGAGTGACCGTGTTGGCAAAACCAACCAGGAGAAGATCATTAATTAGCAGAGCCACTTTGAAAAGTCTGGCTGGCCCACTTGGGCTTTTCCTAACTAAATGAAGACACCTTTCTGCTCGGCTGCAAGTAGAATCTACAGCAGGACCAGGACTGACTCTCAGGACCTTGGCTGTCCCTGTGGGTGGTGGCTGTCCATGGGGAAGGAGCTGGCGTCCCTTTCCAAGGCTTCAGGACCTGGGTCCAGCAGGGAGGAAGAGCTCCCAGGGCAGAAGATCCAGGACCCCAAGGCTCAACGGCCAGCCCTGACCCTAAGGTGAATGGGCTCCTGACTGTGCTGCCTATGGCCTGGTGGCCTCTGGAGTCCCTGGGAATGTGGCTGTGAGGACAGGGATCAGCCCGAGGGGTCCTGGATGCTAAAGGGCCCTGCCTTCCACCACCACCCACAGAGGTGCGGGGAGTCAGCTTGTCTGTGCTATCTTCTTGCCCAGTCTTCCTGCCCAGGTAACCTAAGCTCCTGGGAGGCAGAAATGCCCCTCCCCATGAATAAGGCTACCTGTGTCCGGCTCTGAAACAGCTGTGCCCATGGGAGAAGGCTGGGGGCGGGGGGCATTCCTGTGCTGCTTCTCACAGGCTGTCCCATGGAGGAGCCCGGCAGTCAGTTATTTGCCTCTGAAAATGCACCACACTAGACAGTCCTGCTCCTACCTCTGCTGAGACACATGTCTGGGGGCCCAGGGATGCCAGGAGCACTGCAGCTCCTTTGATGCACCCTGCAGGTGGCAGACAGCATCAGCCCAAAGTGTCAGACAGAATGGAGGTGGAGGCTGGCGGCAGGGCTGCTAGAGCAGGCTCCTGCTGGGGGCAAAGTCAATCCCCAGGGCCAGGCCAGTTGCTACGGCCACCTCTGCAAACTCCACCTCAGCACAGGTGGGCACCTGCCAATGGAGCCAACTACTTCTGGGGCTGGGCCCTGGCAGGGCAGAAAGGTTCAGGGGGCTACAGCCTCTTGGTGGCCCCACTAAGGTCAATGCTGGAGGAAGGGACAAGAGCAGGCTCTCCTGAGAACTCAGACCCTGCAGTTAGGCCAGGAGGGGGCCAGGTGGGCACCTGGCAGGTCAGAGTGTATTCCTTGTGCAGGTGCTTCAAGAATGCTGAAGAGTCCACCTACCAGCCAACTGTACAGGGGCTGCTGGAGCCAGTCTGGGGGTGGGGCAGGGACTATCACTCACCCATCCCAAGGGCCTGCTTTCTGGCGTTTCTTTATTTGTATTTATGTGCTGTTGGCTCCCTCTCCCAAAATCCCAGGGGAAGAATGGCAGAATGAGGGACCTGCTGGAAAACTTCAGGGAGAGAGGTTGCCACAGGCTGGCAGATAGACACAGGCTCACTCACACATTCCTACACACACACACATGCACACACACTCATATGCATGTGTGTACACACAGAAGGGGAGAGGGTGGTGGGGGTCACGACTGAGCAAATAAACACATATATGAAAGATAATGGGAGGGGACTTTCTCATTGCCAGAAATGACATTGCAAGCATGGAAAAGGGAAGGCTGGGAAGAAGTCTGAGGTATTGGATTAAAATGGGAGATAGTGGTATGAACTCAGGATTATTAAAAGAAGATCTATACAGATGGATACTGAAGTAGTATAGATACATATGTACACACGTTTCCACGTATGTTTCCACACTTACATATCTTTCTTAGCGTTGTCCATGGAGAGGACCTACAAGCAGTGAGCACACCAAGCACTCAGACCTTGGTTTCTAAACACCACTCTCTACTATAAAAAATGAGGGAGGGCTCTTTGAAGAAATCAGATTCCTGGGCTGCAGCAGGGAAAGCACAAGATTACCCTGAGATCGCTTGTGTTATAAAGTCAGGAAAAGCTCAAAGCGTGATGGAGACCTGTCAGATAACACAGACAACAACTTGAAATGCACATGGGCCAAACCTAGGACAATTTGAGTATTAAAATAGTTAAGGTTGCAGATGATAACCCACTGGATTACATGGGAATCTGTGAGTCTAGGCTGAGGTAGAGAAGTGAATAAACAAGCAAATCAATGGAGGAGGAGGGACAGCTCTTCTGTGTAGTAGAATGCCAACCAGCAAGTCCAGAAGGAATGGCGGACACTGGGCATTGCTATCGGGCATTTCCACCGCAGGCACTGAGACAAGCAGGAGCCACCATGGATGCAAAGGTTGCTGGGCAGAGATTTGCTGAGGATCAGAAAATTAGTGGAATATCAGACTCTCTTTCCATAAAGTGCTAGTCAAATACAAAGCGGGAAAGAGGGACTTGACAGTGGAGAAATCTGGTGATGCCGGCTGAGCAGGCATCAGGGCTGACATCAACAGTGGTGGGATGGGTCAACGCGGTAGAGTCTCTCAGTGTGAGGCATCGAGGGGTGCCCGGCTCCATTTCTGTGTGCTTCCTCCAGGAAGGGCTCAGCCTGAGTCTGGACACGGGTCTGAAGGTCCCAGAATAACAAGTTCTTTAAGATTGGCAAGGACTGTGAGACGAGGAGAGACTGAGGATCTGCTGCAGACCGGAACAGCTCGATGCAGAGGGCCCATGCACAGGATCCTGGACCAGCATCAGGACAGTTGGCAACACTAAGTGGGGCCTGCCGCACCCCTGGTGATCGCCTAGGTGGGGAGGGTGTGCAGGGATGACGCAGGGAGTGTCCTTGTTTTTGCAAGGTAGACATGGGAGTATTTAGGGGTGATGAGGCATCATGTCAGAAAGTACATATGGCGGGGGGTGATAGAGCAAATGCAGAAAAATGCAAGCCTCCTGAAAATGTTCCCAAAGAAGAGGCGATTGAGGGAGAAGGCAGAGGCCTGACAAGGGGGGAGGCTCACACAGGATCTTCCCCAGGGTGCCCCAGCCCAGGGCTTCCCAAGGGCATTCTGCACAGAACCCTTCTGGGATTCTCCCTGGTTCCCCCAAACTCGGGGGATCCCCCCAACTACAGACCTCCATGCTAAGTTCCAGCCAGAACCCATGCAAAATACTCAGCAGAAGGGACAACCATTTGCCCCCATTCTCACTCAGCAGCCAATAAAAAGCGGGGCCTCCTGCTCCAGCCCAAAGACTTCCATTCTGACGCCTCTAACAAGTCTGGGATAGAGGAGGTCGAGGAGAGCTGTGGGTGAGCTCAAGTGGTCTGGAGATAGGGGCTGGGCCAGAAGAGGTAGAGACCAGGCCAGGCTAAGCTCTGCACAGGGCTGGGCTGGAATAAAAGGTGTGAGGCAGCCCACAGGAAGACAGGGCTTTCTCCTGCTGAGCGTTCTTGGGCACTCCCTCCTGGCCCTTCTGAGATGCTCCAGCAAGTAACCTGGCCCACGGGCACCCCTTCCTCCAGGGAGACAAGGCACAGGGCACGGGGCATGCATCCTGGAGAGCCATATTGGCTGGAATGCACGCAGCATGGTCAACAGTCTTTGCTCCTTCAGTCCATCCCCTCTGGAGGAGTCTTCGACCCAGCTCTGGCCAGGTCAAGCCCTGCTGAGCAGCCTTTGGTACCAGCTCCCTACCCTGGCCACACTCCTTCCCTACTCCTCCACTCACCTCTTGCCACTCTTCCTTCCCCCACCATCCATTGCTGCCCCCACCACAAAGGACCTGCCCGCACCTCCCCCGCTGTCCCTGCGTGGCAGCACACAAAGTAAGTGCCCCGCCAGTATTTGCTGACTTCAAAGCACGCCTCCTGGGCCCATCAGAGTCCCAGCACTGTCAGCACGGGTTTGTCTGCATGCAGTAAGTCCCAGGGTTTTGCCCCTTGGCTCCAGAGAGCAGGGAGCAGACCCACGGGGACATGGGGCACCAAGTGGCTTCGATGGGGCCTGAGCAGGACAGCTTGTCAGTGTAAAACAAAGGCCCAGCTTGGCCTGGCCCAGGACACGAGCCTGTTGTCTCTGTCACCTGCTCCCAAATGCCTCCCCTCCCCAGGTCCAGCCCCAGGTCCACCCACCTGCAGTTTCCAGAGGAAGTCGAGGCGGGCAGTGGACTCCACCTGCTGGGCGTGCAGGTACAGGGCCAGCACAAAGACTGAGATGATGATGGGCGTCACCACCTTCAATGCCACCTTGGTTGCGTGCTCAGGGCTGCGGGTAGGAGGTGGGCAGGCCTGAGACCGCCCTGGCTCCTCACAGCGGGCTCTGAGGACCCCCCACCCCCACCCACTGCTGTCCTGTTTTTCTTCCTCCCACTATACCTTCCCCTCTTCCTTATCCCCCTGCTCAAACTTTGCCTCACGCGTGCCTCCTCCAGGAAGCCTTCCTGGCTGGCGGCCCCATCTCAGACCCTGCTTGCACCTGCAGCCCAGGCAGCCATTACTCCTCTCCTGACACCTCATAATCCCCCGTCACTTGGGAGCTCCCCTCTTGTCAGATCAGGGGATGAACTCGGCCCTTCTAAAAGGCAGCATGTACATCCAGATCCTTCTCTGGACAAGACAGGGGCAGTGGGTGCAGTACAAGGGGGCCACGCAGGCCATGCTGACCCTGTCTCTGGGCAACCTTGGGCAAGTGTCTTAATCTCTCTGAACTTTAGTTTGCTTATCTGTGTACAACAGGATAACAATACCCACATTTCAAGATGGTAGTAAGGATTAAAGAGATATTATAAACAAAATGCTTAGTGCAGCATCTGACAAACAGTAGGTGCTCCAAAACTAGTAGCATTATTGTCTAATTCTATTTTTGTTACTAATAGATACTCTTAACAAAAGCGGCCATTCCAAACCCTACGTCTTGTGCCAGCCGAGAGCTCACGCCCTGGAAGGCTGCACAGAGGCTCCAGTCACCACCTCCCCTCTTGCCCAGGCAGCAGCCCTCAATGCAGGGACGGGTCCCACAAGCGCTGCAGCTCTCGCCCTTATTCCTCAACTCCAGAGGAAAAGTGGTACCAGCTTCCATTCTCCTGGGTCTGGGGTTCTCACAGGCTCCTGGGGAAGAGCTTGAGGCTAAATGCTTTAAAATGAGGCCTATGGAATGATCTGAAGCCGGTGATCCCAACCACAGAGCCTACAGATCACCTTGGTGGGGATCATAAAAGTGACCAGGGCCTCTGCCCCTCAGGATGCCTTGCTGCCCCAGGAGGAACCAGCCTCCCTGCTCCTGCTGGCCTCCTCCTTCATTACCCACCTTGCCACCAAGGCCCCTCCCACCTGGGCACCAGCTGCCTTCCCTGTCTGCTCTGTGCTGAGGGCAGGGAGCGGCCCTATCTGAGGAGCATCAACTCACCACTGGGAGGTCCCGTTGTTGAAGAAGTCTCTGTGAAGAGAGTTGGGGAAGACTGGTCAGGGCCACCCTTCGGCATAAGGCGGCCTCCACTCCTGCTCGGCCCCCACGCCCTGCTCGGCTGTCCCCACCACTGCTGCTCCTGGCTCCCCAGCCCCAACCCCCTCCATATTCAAGGGCACTTTCAGGATGGGAGGTGGTAGAAAACGCAGCCCCAACTAGCACTGGATCTCATGACCACAAACCACCCAGCTCTTACCTGAAACCCTGCCTTCCCTGACCCAGCCCATCTGCCTGGGTGGAGGCCTGCCTGCCTCTCCCTCTCCCAGGCCTCTGCTGCCATCCAGAGGGAGTGGAGGAGATCCCACAGCTGCGCTGCTTGGTGTGGCAGCCGCTGGCCACATGCAGCTGCTGAGACTTAACACGGGGCTGCTGCAAGCTAAAATGTGCTGTACGTGTAAAACATACACCAGGTTTTGAATAATTAGTGTAAAAAAAGGTAAAATATTTCATTAAAAATATCTTAAAATGATATTCTGGCTATATAGTACTCATTAAATAAAAGTCAAATTATACTTTTTGCCTTTTTAATATGGCTATAAGAAAATTTTAAATTACATAAGTGGTTTTTGTTTTTTTTTTTTTTGAGACAGAGTCTTGCTCTATCTTCCAGGCTGGAGAGCAGTGGTGCAGTCTTGGCTCACTGTAACTGCCACCTCCTGAGTTCAAGCTATTCTTGTGCCTCAGTCTCCCAAGTAGCTGGGATTACAGGCCCACGCCACCACGCTTGACTAATGTTTATATTTCTAGTAGACACAGGATTTTGTTGGCCAGGCTGGACTATACTGATCCACCCACCTCAGCCTCCCGAAGTGCTGGGATCACAGGCGTGAGCTACCGCCCCCGGCCCACCTTTTATCTATTGGAAAATGTTGCCCTAGAGCCAAACCACGGCCTCCCAATCCAGAAATAAGCTTTACTGTCTGCTGCCAGCTTCGGCACCTGAAGACGAGACGCTAGGGACGGGGACGGAGCAGTAAGAGGACGGCAACATTCCCTGCTCCAGTCCCGACCCATGGGTAGAAAGTTCCTGGACCTTTTCTTCCTCCTCAAAGGACTGCAGCCTGTCCCATGCTCGACTGCCCCACGTCTTTGTGGTCATCTGCCCACGGCCCCTACACAACCACCAAGAAGTTCTTCCTTGAATATGACTTAAACCCTTCATTAGAGCTCCACTTTCTCAGGCAACACCACCTTCCCGAGAGAGAAACATTCCTGAGTTTTCTGTGTATCCACATTGTACCTCCACTGCCTAGGTCAGCGGCTGGCGCATAGCAGGCCCTTAATAAATATTTTTGAATGAATGAATGGGTGAACAAATGGATGGATGGGTGAATCCCTTCCTCTAACTCAAAAAAGGTACAGTTTGCTACATTTTTTCAGGGGACACAGAACTGTCATTTTTTTTTTTTTTTTTTTTTTTGCACTTCTTGGTGTGTGTGTAGGGAGTGGTGATGCATAGAAAAGAGTATGACGAATCAGGCACTTTAAATACATCTTACTACTATAGGCATTGATAATCTACAGGTCACGTTTGCCAAGCTTCCAAATCAACCTGCTTCAGGGATGTCTTGTGATTTACACCAATATCCTGTCCCTGAGTGAAGAATCTTATCTGAGCTCCTCAAATTGCTGATGTACTGATTAATGCATAACCTATTGATATAAAAAAATGCTGATTCATTTCTGAATCATGAATTTGTACTGATTGCTGGCATGTAGACATTTTAGTCTGTATGTTGTGATCTGCAGCCAGTGATTGTAACCCTCCAATGACAAAGGACAACTCTGGTCTGAGGAGTCCCCTTCCCTTCTACTTTCTTATGAAAGCATTCCCGAAGCTTCTGGAACACACGCAACTTGGTGCGTGTGTCTTCCTGGCCAATCCTCACATTCGGCTTCCAACAAAACTTAATCAAATTATTTCTGCCTCAACCGCCTTCATTTAGGTTGACAATATTCCCATTTTACAAGGAAAAGGTTATGAGGTTCAGAGGAATGACCAATGTGTCTGATGCTGAGATTCTAACCCAATTTCACCCGAAGCCTGAGGTCTTTCCCCTCATGGAGCCACCTCCCTTGGAAATCTGACATCTGTCACTACATGGCCATGCTGACTATGGGGCCAGACAGCCGTGGGCCCCACCTTCACGCCCACTACCTCTAGGACGTGGGACCTAACCTCTGCCACCACAGCCAGGAGCCTTTCGGTAGTGCACAGATGCCCCGCCTGATGTGGTGGGTCTGCCTATTTGGCTGGGTTGCTGGAGGATGAAGAGGAACAGCAGATATCCAGGCACCTGCCTTGAGGTGGGACACAGAGCCTGTGAACAACAAAGCTTGTCCCTCTGCTCCCACACACCTTACTGCCTGGCTCTGCTGGACCGTGACCCCTCTGAGCCTGGGGCAGCTGGACTGAGGTGAAAGCAGCCCACTGGAGGCTGCCCTGGCAAGGGAGGAGCAAATCAGAGAAAGAAACACAATGGGGCCTGGTGACCTGAGGCCACTCCAACTACTGGGGACGGGAAGGAAGGAAAGAAACAAGGCCGTTTCCCCAGATGTCAGGGCTGGGGAGGAACAAGACACTCTCCTCACAAGTTCCCCGTGGTGCCGGAACCCTAAACCTCCTGCTCTTGCCACCTCCCTGCAATGTCCCGTGCCCCATGGGGAGTGTGAGGAAGGTGTCCCGTACATGGCATTGGCGGTGACCAGCAGGTCGGCATTGTCGAAGAGCGTGACACCCGGCACCTCCACGATGAGCACGTAGATGAGCTCGATGGCCAGCATGAGCGCCAGCTTCCCGATGCAGTTGATCTGCAGGAACACGGAGCAGGCCAGCAGGCTGAGCAGCACGCTGTAGGTGAAGTACTGCGGGCAGAGGGCAGTGGCATCAGCTCCCCAGGCCCTGCCCGCCCCCTGGCCCCGTGCATCCTCCAGTCTGAGCTGGCTCAAGTGAGGCCTGGGCTGGGCATGTTTCTGCTGATGTAAATTTCCCAACAGGTGTGATGTAAGGCGAAGGGCCCTGGTTAGGAACCAGGAGATGGGCTCCAGCTGGAGTCTGGCCATTGCCTGCAGGACAGCCCCACATTACAGCTACGCTGCAGGCCCAGGCTGCCCTGGGTTTCAGCCGTGATCCAGGCTGGGCTTTGTGTGCCTCGGGCTGTGTGCTCAGCCCCTCTGAGCCTTGGTGTCCCCTCTGCAAGACTTCCTATCTCACGGCTTACTGTGATGAACACAAGCAAGGAAGCCCTCGCTGCACTGTCCGGCACCCTCAATAACCGTGGGGAGCCCCTCATCTGCAGCTTTGAACCACAAAGCTCCAAAAGTTGAATGTGTTTTCATGACTCCTGTAGGGGACACGCCTGAACGGAGCTGCTCTGGTGACAAAAGCTGACCTCACTGCTGGGACGCTAGTTATCTTTATCGTGTCTCCTGTGACATGCAGACATGCTACTACTGTGGAAATATGACCACTTCATGATCAGACTCCACTGGGGGTGGGAGGCAACCTTTTAAAATCTGAAAAGTTCTGAAGTCCAAACAATATGGGGCCCCAAAGGTTTCAGAGGAGGGATCATGCCCTGTGCTGTTCCCTCTAGGGAAGCCCCTTCTGGTCTCTGAGCCTCCATTTCCTTCTTAGACAACTGAGGGGCTGAACCAGGTAATCTTGGAGGTCCCCATCTGCTGCTGTCCCTTGATGCACATCAGCCTCGGTTATTGTTGTTATTATTTTTAATTTAGCACCATTGTTTCGGAGTCAGGCCTCCAGACATTTAGTCTTCGCACACAGCCTCAGCCCTGGGCTGCAGCAGCCCCCAGGGCAGACCCTCAGCCTCCCCAGGCCTTCTAGAGCCAAGGAAAGACTGCCCAGGGCCCCTGGGTGATTGGTTGCTGGGGGAAGCCTCCCATCACCACTGGGAACAGGAGCAGAAGAGGGAACGAGGAGGGCAGCCTAGAGGAGTAAGCTCAGAGCCCCAGAGCCCCGGTCTTTGAGAGGAGGGATGGGAGCTCCAAGAGCCAGCCTGGACTCCCATTCAAACCCTGGCCCAGATAACCAGGAGGCCAACACTGGATGCTGGGGACCCCCCCGGCCTGGTCTGTAAGGAGTTGCTGAATCAGGAGAAATCTTTGAGGAGGGTGGTCAGCTGGTGGGGGCTGAAGGCTGGCACCAAGCCTCTCCCACAAATGAGGAGCCAGAATCTGCCCACTGCCACCCTCTCCCCCCGGCCTTAGCCTCACCAGGGGAACCACCACCAAGGGGCAAGTACGAGACTGAAACTAGCCTCTGCTCCTCGCAAACAGCCCTCAGAAAGCTGAAGTGCTCCCGTGGGTTCTCAGCCAGATGTGAGGGGCAGCGGAGGCCAGGGAGGCGAGGCTGGGGAGGGGAGGCTAGGAAGCGGAGGCTGGGTGCAACATGGCTGCCTGGAAGAGACAGAGAGCTTGCCACCAGCCCGCGGAGGCGGGGCAGGGGTGGGGCTGCACCTGCCTAGGTGAGCTGGGGCCAAGCCCTGCTCCTCCCTGGGCCTTCCCTGCCCTATCTGTATAACTGAGAGCCAGATCCCAGGCTGGGAGGGAGGCCCACACTGGCAGCCCACAGCACCCCTCAGCTGCAGTCACAGGCCCTTTGGGAGCTGGATGAAAACATGAACCTTCTCTCCAGAAAAAGGCAAACTGCCCCCATCTTACTGGCTTCATGTGTGCACCCATAGGGAGCTGGGGGTATGAGAAGGGGGAGGCTGGAAGCCCAGCCCAACTGCTGACTAGCGAACTGCTCCCTGGCAAATGCAGCACCGTGAATGAAGCACCTTGCACGCCACAGGTGCTTAATATATGCTGCTCTCCGAATAAAGACACGTGGCATTATTTTTAAACCCAAATGCCTGTGGGCACAAAATTTCTTTTTGAGGTGATAAAAGTATTCTAAAATTAGATGATGATGATGGTTGTACACATTGGCGAACACACGAAAAGCTACTGAACCGTGCACTTTGAACGGGTGAGGTTTATAGTAGTGCTGGTTTGGGATTGGGTTGCTTTGCTCCCCTCTCTCCTCTCTGACCCTAACAGCTGGGGCTTAGGAGGGTTCTCCTGAGGTGGGCTAGGGTCTGCTAGAGAAGCAGAGGGTCCAGAAAGTCTTGCCCTCAGATCAGGAGCACGAACTCTGTCTGGAGCCGGACAAGTTGAATGACAGCTCCAGCTCTGTTGAGTCCTGGCTGTGTGACCTGGGTAAATTACTTAGCCTCTCTGTGTCTCAGGTTCTTCGCCTCTACAAAGGAGATAATATAACACTTATGTCATAGGCTGTTGGGAGGATTTCATTAGTAAGTGTGTATAGAGCCCTTAGCCACAGTCCCTGGTAAGCACTATAGAAACAACAGCTACACCATTGTCATCGTCATCGTCATACGGAGGAGGCTCCCCGTGTTCCCAGTGTCTGGCATGTAGGAGTGAGAGACATTGGGGTAAGCGGGTCTCTAGAAGACAGTGAGCTGGTGAGACCCTGTCCTTCAGACTGTCCTGAGCAGCTGAGGGGACAGTGGGGGAGGGCAAGGGACTCTTCACCACTCCCTTCCAGCCCGTGCGCACCCAGTACCTCGGGGAAGTTGCAGTTGGGCCAGGGGCTGCCACAGAAGCCCTGCTCATCGCCCAGGCTGTAGTTGACGGCCGACTCCACCACGTGACATGCGTTGACCTGGCTTGCGCTGATGTTGTGCTCCTGTGCCAAGCAGCCCAGCAGGTCCTTGGAGTTGCACGTGAACTGGGGGCAGGGAGGAGGGTGGTGAGGGGAGGGTAAGCTGCTGGGGGACAGGCAGGGCAAGCCCAGCCGCAGGCTCCCACCCGTCCTCCGCCTCAGGTGCAGTATGACACTGATGGGGACAAAATCTGAAAGAGGCTGAGGAACGGGCAAGGTTTGCCCAGCTGTCCTGGCTGGAGGGGGTGTGGCTAGCGTGCCCTGCCAAGGAGGGGCTCTTAAACATGCCTTGGGGACATTCCCTAAACTCTTCCTGGCCCCACCAGGCTTGAGAATGAAGAGCTAAGAACTTCACTTAGTGGGAGAGTAGCCAAGCATAGTGGCTCATGCCTATAATCCCAGCATTTTGAGAGGCCAAGGCCAGCGGATCACTTGAGCCCAGGAGTTTGAGACCAGTCTGGCAACTAGCCTGGCAACATGGGGAAACCCCATCTCTAAAAAAAAAAAAAAAAATTAGCTGGGCATGGTGGTGGTGTACACCCATAGTCTCAGCTACTTGGGAGGCTAAGGCAGGAGAATGGCGTAAACCCGGGAGGCGGAGCTTGCAGTGAGCTGAGATCCGGCCACTGCACCCCAGCCTGGGCGACAGAGCAAGACTCCGTCTCAAAAAAAAAAAAAAAGAACCTACATGAGGCACATTGAGTCAAAGCTTATCCCAGACCCAGGAGCCACACAAATAAGAAAGTCCCTCCTAGCCCTGCCAGGCGGGTACATGGCTCCAATGGGTTTGATCCAATCGGGCTGTGGAGGTGCTGGGAGATCGTGCAGCCACCCACCATGTTGACAAAAGCCGCCAGGAACACCAGGGTGATGGTGAACACCCCAACCAGGGTGCTGTTCATCTTGGACCGCACGATCTTCCTGGAGAGAGTCTGCAGCGGGGAGGGGAAGAGCTAGGGTGGGGGTGGGGGGTAGAGAGGGAGGGAGGGAGAGACGGAATAGCATTCAGCAAGGACTCCACAAATGGCCCCGGGAGTGTAGTGGACCTACCTGTGTCTCTCCCCAGCATGACCCCCGGGCCTTCCTGGTGGCCCTCCCAGCCTGCAAGTCTCCAGCCTTGAACTGCTGCACCATTGTTTCCAGGTCAACAGCAGGGCAGATTCTGCAGCTGACCAGGAGCGGGACTATGTGGGGAACCCAGGTGAGAGAGGCAGGATGAGAGGAAAGATGGTATCTTGACCCAACAGAGAAATCAATTAAAAAAGCACATTGGCCTGCTGTGTGCCATCAGGGAGGGACGGTGGGTGGCAGCTGAGGAGTCGTGGAGGGCTCAGAATGTTCCCCGGAGGGTTGAGAAGGCTTCTGGGAGGGAGTGGGCAGTGGTGGGTTTAAGGATTTGGAGAGGATTAGGCCTCACTCAGGAGGAGGAACTGAGCAGCAAGGAGCAGGAGGGAGGTGGATGTGGCCCTGAGCACTGAGTGAGCTCTGTCCTTAGCACAAAGCTCCATGGACCTGCCATTGCCCTCACCCTCTCCTCCTCTGTATTCTTCCACTAGACAAACCATGTCTACTCAAAGACCCCCTGCAGCTTAGGTAATTAAATGATTGGGCTCCTAAGTCCCATTTCTGCCACCAAATCTGATGCAGCTGGCCTTGTAAATGATGTCCCCCTCATCTCCCACGCAACCTAGGCTGGAAAAAGAACCTGATGGACAGAGAAGCAAAACAGTGGATCCATGATGCCCCATCCCTACCTGCTCCAACCCTTCCTGCTGAGGTCTATCTGCTACAGACATCTAGGTGTCCATAAAACCCCCCAAGGGCAGACAGGGTGGTTGAAAAAGCACTGAACCAGGAGTCGGGAAGCCTGGGCTTGGCTTGGTTTTTCCTTTCTGTTCCTGAGCAAGCCACATCCCATCTCTGAAGTCTCCTATTTGTAGGGCTCTTGGGACCTTTGGGCACCCCCAGCTTTTGTGGTGAGTGAAGCAGGCAAAGGTCTCTACCCCAATCATGGGCCGTGAGCATCCCTGAAAATTCTTGCTGAAAGTGCCAGACCACAAGGCTTCTCCATCCCCTGATACTGAGAGTGTCTGTAGTTGGCCACACTGACAGCTAAATAGGTCATGGGGCCGCAGCATCACTACCATGTGACCACTCACTCCCAGTGGGGAGGGGAACTGGCTTGTGTGCTACAGTATTTGCTGCCAACTCAAAAAGGTGTCGGGCCCTTGATCCAGTGTTCTTCAGCTGCAACCCAAACCCACTACGTGTGCAGCATCCACGAGGGCCCATCACATGGGACTTCAGTGGCAAAGGGACTTCAAACACAAATATGCTGACATTCATGCTGCTGACTGTAACATGAGTAATAAAGTTTTTGTCTCTGAGCCAGGAGTCTCGTGTCTTCTGCCAGCCTCTATGAAACAGCAACCAGCAAACTCATTAGCTTGTAAGTAGGGTAAAATCACACCTTACACCCTTCAGAATTCTAGACAAAAAGTCAGGTCCCTGCTCACCCCCGGGTCTTGGGCTTGGAGCTGGCTGTGTGCATAGGGAGGGTGTATATCTTTCTGACCCCAGAATCCTCCTCCACCCTTCCAGCAAAGCCATTTCCTATCAGCAGAGGGAAAGAGGGGACCACAAAGACGGATAGATCACAGGAAGAACTGCTGCCATGGCAGAGGCCTGGCAGTCTCGCATAGGCTACAGGCTGAAAGATGAAGGCCTGGGACTCCATCTCCCCAGCAGGAGAGCCTCCCAGGTATACTCCTATACTACCAAGCCTGTGGCACATGTTCTGAGCAAACACTGGGATAATAAAAGAGACCCTCTGGGATAATAAAAGAGACCCTCTGACCAAACCGTCTTATGTGGTTGAAGGAAAGTTAAGTGTGATCTGAAGAGCATAAGCTTGTATTAAAATCTTGCTTAATAGACATAGAAATGAATCAAATAGATTAAGGGTCCAGAAACAAATCCTTCCATTTATGGCCCAATGATTTTGACAAGCGTTCCAAGACAAAGGTGAAAGGACAGTCTTTTCAACAAATGGTGCTGGGACACATGGATATCCACAGGCAAAAAAAATGAAGTTGGGTCCCTACTGCACCCTGTACAAAAATTAACTCAAAATGGACCAGAAAACGTAAATGTAAAAGCCAAAACCACAGAACTCTTATGGGAAAACATACAAGTAGATCTTTGTGACTTTGGATCAGGCAACGGTTTCTTAGAGGTGACACCAAAGGCACCAATCAAAAAAGAAAAAATAGATAAATTGGACTTTATTAAAATTATTTTTGTCCTTCAACTAACACCATCAGGAAAGTTAAACAAAAAACAAAAAACAAAAAGTATTGGTGAGGATGCAGAGAAGCTGGAATCCTTGTGCATTGCTGGTGGGAATGTAAAATGAGGCAGCCACTGAGGAAAACAGTAGGGCATCTCCTCAAAAAAATCAAGCATAGAATTATTATATGATCCAGTAATTCCACTTCTGGGTATATGCCCCAAAGGATTTGAAACAGGGACTTGTACAGATACTTGTACACCCCTGTTCACAGCTGTATTTTTCCTAGTAGCCTGAAAGTGGAAACAATTTAATCGTCCATCAATTGATGAATAAACAAAATGTGATATATCCATACACGGGAATATTTTTCAGGCATAAAGAGAGTAAAGTGCTGTTACATGCTACAACATGGATGAGCCTTAAAACTAATATGCTAAGTGCATGAAACCAGTCTCACAGGGCCATGTGAGATTCCCTTCATGTGAGATATCCAGAACATGCGAATCATAGAGACAAAGTGGATGAGTGGTTGCCGAGGGCTGTGGTGATCAGGGAGGGAGGAGTGACTGCTAATGGGTCTGGGGGTTTCTTCTGGGGATGACAACAACGTTCTGGAATTAGCATCAATAGTTGAATAACTTTGTGAATATACTAAAAACTAGTGTATTAAAAGTTCATTCACCTGTATAAAGGTGAATTTTATGGTATGCAAATTATGTCTCAATGAAGCTCTTATTTTAAAAAATCTTGCTCAGCCTCTTACTGGTTGTGTGATCCTACACTCTGAGCTTCAGTCTCCTTACTGGGAAATTGGGAATAGCTCTCTCCCAGAGTGGCTATCAAGACTTAGCAAAGTGATGCATTTGAAAGTGCTGTGTAAGCTGTTAAACGCAACAGAAAAGTTAGTTAATACTTGCATTTTAAAGAGCTATATTGCCAATAAGAATGAAAGTCCTTATTTCCCATTTAAAGGAATTTTTGGTTTCACAGCTGGGTAAAGTGTTTTGGCACTAGCATGAGGGATCTTACTCTGAAATGGTATGACAGATGGTTTCAAATCGCTGGCTGCTGAAAACTTTTGTCATTCTATTCTCCATCCCCTTTCCCCACCCCCACCCCAACTCCTATGTGCCCTATGTTGTTTAAACTGCTCAGTTCTGATCACCCCATCCACTGATTGAGAGGCTTCCTTCATCATTTTGCAACCACCAATGTAATGACTGATAGAGGCAAAGGTTACTAATGCATGCTAAAACTTTCTTAATAAAAGTTGGTCGGGGAATAGGGTATGCACATTAGCTTCCTGGTGAATATGGGACCAGGAGCCCCACCAGGACCATCTAGAGGCCAGGAGAAGAACTGCAGGCTTAAAAAAAAAAATCAACGTTAGATATGGCTCTACCAGCTAATGAATGACTGAATGTGCACTGGTTTGCTTGCCACAAGTCAACTTCCCTCCACACTCTTTTTTTTTTGAGACAGAGTCTCCCTCTGTTGCCCAGGCTGGAGTGCAGTGGCACACTCTCTGCTCACTGCACGCTCCGCCTCCCGGGTTCACGCCATTCTCCCGCCTCAGCCTCCAGAGTGGCTGGGACCACAGGCGCCTGCCACCACGCCCGGCTAATTTTGTTTTTGTATTTTTAGTAGAGACGGGGTTTCACCGTGTTAGCCAGGTGAAACCAGGATGGTCGCAGTCTCCTGACCTCGTGATCCGCCCACCTTGGACTCCCAAAGTGCTGGGATTACAGGCGTGAGCCACCGCGCGGGGTACCGCGCGGGGTCACCCTCTACACTCTTTAAAAAGACTTTCTCTTGACTTTAAAACCTCAGTAGGAACTCAGGAATTGCTGCTTTTTTGAAGTCTCCAGAAGATTTGACATCCTGTCTTGATATCAGTTTATAGAGTGTCTCATTTCCTATAATTAGAGAGTTCATCTGTATGTCAACCCTAAATCCAGATTCTACCTCAGTGTGGATCTTAAAACTCTTGGCTGGGTGCGGTGGCTCATGCCTGTAATCCCAGCACTTTGGGAGGCTGAGGCGGGTGGATCACAAGGTCGGGAGATCGAGACCATCCTGGCTAACATGGTGAAACCCCGTCTCTACTAAAAATACAAAAAATTAGCCGGGCATTGTGGCAGGCGCCTGTAGTCCCAGCTACTTGGGAGGCTGAGGCAGAAGAATGGCATGAACCCGGGAGGTGGAGCTGGCAGTAAACCAAGATCATGCCACTGCACTCCAACCTGGGCGACAGAGCAAGACTCCGTCTCAAAACAACAACAACAACAACAACAACAACAACAACACTCTTTGCCAGGGGCAGAGTCTCTTTCCAGGGCTACACCACAACTGCAGTCAGATTGTGGAGAGGATTTTCCAGCAGGATAACTGTCTGTACCAGCCAATCACTTAATGCCTGCTCACAATCAGAGCCCAGAAAAAGAACTGATGTTCAAAAAAGAAGTTCAGAACCAGTACATTCCCAATCTGATTAATTCAAATCAATTCAACATGAAAAGCAGGAGTGGGAACATAGTTAATAAACCATGATTGGGGTAAGGAACAGTTTGATCCTGGCCTCTTTGAATGTCTCCAGGCACGTTGAAGACCTCCCTGGGCCCCTGTCTGTGATGCGGGGCTAGGGTATTGCAAAGATAAAAGGAGGGGATGAAATTGGATGGCAAAAAAGTTTAAGAATACAGCCTCTTTGACAAGGAGCTAATAAAAGAAGCAGTAGCTCCTACTTCAGAAAAAGAAAAAAAAGGTAAGAAAACCACAGAGGTCAAACCTGGCAGGTAGAAGGGGTCCACCCAGTGCTCTCATCACTTGGTCTTTCAGGAGTCAACTGGACATATTAGCAGAGGCAGTGTCCTGGAGGGGAGGCTCATGGGCTCTGAATTAAAAGCCACCTGGTTTTAAATCCTAGCAATAACCACTTCCTAACTATAGGATCTAGAAAAAGCTGTCTAACCTCTCTGGGCTTCCGTTTCCTCATCTGCAAAGTAGATTCAATAAAAGCCACCTTTGAGGCTCAGGAAACACAGCTTAAAGTAGCATCACTTGGATGTGGATCCTGGGCTGTCCTGTCTTGAAAAACACAGGGGGAACCTACGATATGCCTCCTGGAACGAAGACCTCTCCATCTCCTAAATGAATGATGTGTGTGATGAGATGTGAATGGTGAGAGGAATGTGCCCCCTGAGCATGCAGGCAGAAAGGTGAACATGGGAATCCTAAAATCCTCACAGGATGGAAGGCACCTAGGAGGGGAGGGGTACTGGTTGCACGGTTAGACCCTATTTTAGAAATTGTGGACCAGGACTTGAGTTGGAGTGGTAGAAAGGAGAACCAGCAAGGTGGGCTTAGCTACACACAGGCTGCAGGGAGAGGAGAAGAGGCTCTGTCGGTGACTGCAGAGCAGACAGGGCCCACAGGAGGCTCTGGTCACAGATCCCAGGTGCTCATATGATCAGGTCCAGGGGATCAGTACGAGGTAGACCAAGAGCAAGCCATCAGGCTGGGGGATAAGAGAGATACACACACACACACACACACACACACACACACACACACACCACACACACACACACACACAGCTACGCAGCTGAGTTCCCCTTTGGAGCTGGCTAAAGAGGGAAGGGGCTGCACTTAGGAGCCATGAGCAAACTCCCTATCCCTGGAGGTGATCAAGCAAAGCAGAGGCTGGCGCACCCCTCGCAGGGTTATCACTGGGAAATCCAGCCTCAGGTGGGTGGCTGGGCTCTCTCACTGCATGGGCCCCTTCCAACCTGAGATCCTCTGAGTTGTGGACAACGTGTGATGGTGAGCAGGGCTTTAACATGGTTTTCTCTAGGAAAAGCAGTTCTGGGGCCCAGGTCAGCACAGATGCCAAGGGAAGGAGGGGGGGAGTTTGTGCAGATGTGCAGACTTGCTCTCTAAGACAGCATCTCCAGAAGGAAGCACTCGGGGGGACGGTCCCTAAGGCAAGGCATCTGAGGGGCAGTGGGGGCTCTGCAAGGCAGCTGAGGCTCAGGAGGGAAACCAGGACTTGAGGACACGATGAAGACCAAGGCACCAAGTTAGCCCCACTGAGAAATCCAGGGGAGTGTGTGAGCTGCACTGAGCTGTGTCTGGAAAAGACTGAACAGGCCCAAGATTAAAAGGCCACCAGAGCACTTAGTAAGAAGGCAAAACCCAACCCAGAAAGGACCAGGGAAAACTGCTCCCCAACAGCCAGAGAAGACAATTCACTCAGCCGACACTTTCTCATATTTCTGTCTTTGAAAAGGTTAAAATATGGACAGTTTAAGGAAGTTAGTCCACGTTGTTCTGGGAAAATGAAAAAGTAAATGAAATAGAGAAAGAGACTGACACTACCTGGCTTGGGGGTAACTTAGGAACTGTCACATCTCTTTGCAAAGCCACTCCCTGTGACTTCTGAGAGACTGAGAAAATAAGAAAAAGTTTCTGAGTTCTGGTAAAACCACAAATGTTTTTCAAAAAGAAAACAGAAGGACCCTAAACACTGCAGGCTAGTCAGCTTCATGTCAGCACCTGCAAAGGTGAGAAAATGAACTTCATTTGGTCAACCCACTTGTGCCATGGTGCTCAGTGACAGGCTGACATCTGCATCAGGGAAGAAGGGGTACTGTTCCCCGCCACGCACATGGCAGGAGGTAGAGCCAGGTAGAATCTCCTTTCATGTCTTCACCTGAAAGCTGTTTAACCCACAACACGAAAGAGGGAAGAAGAAGAAGAATTCAATGGAAAGAAGTTCATATTACAAACGACTTTTCAAATTGGGCTCTGCGTTCCAGAAAGTGGATAAACCCTGAGAAAATGGCTAATCAGGCCATGAGAGAAGGAGGCGGCAGGGATAGGAGCTGAGGGTGGGTGCTGGAGTCTATTTAATGGGTCGACCACCAGCCCAGAGCGGCAGGTTCCAGGCTTCATAAGCCACTCAAGTTCTTTAATGAAGCCTTCTATCTGTAAGATGGAAAAAGCAGGATACCTAGCTGGATGGTATGGGACTCGGGGGACAGTGTTTGTGTGGCCTGGGGATGGAGGGTGAGTATTCCATCTACCAGCCCCCTCCCCCACCCCAAGGAAACTGAGGCCTCCACAGAACAGAGGCAGCAAAAATCACTGGGCTAGACAAAAGAACTGAGAACATGCTCAGTGAATTTGGCATTGATAACAAAATAGGCAAATTCAACAAAAGGCAGGGATGATTTTCATAACTCATCTTGAACTGTGGGGAAAAACCTCATGAGACCAACAATGGCCAGTGAAGGTGGCTGCAGGCAGGAAAATGGGCCCATCCTTCCCCTCCTCCACAACTGACTGCAAATCAGGAAACTCAAACGGAATGAAATCAGTAGAGCTCAGGTTCACCTAAGTCCCTAACAGCAAAGGAAGGAAATTTAGGTTCAAGCTTAAAAAATGGCAGACTATGCACAGCTTTGATTCTGATTTGAATGGGCTAATTAAGTGCCTGAAACAAACAAACAAAGAATGACTTTGCCTCAGGTCCCTTACTTAAAAAGAAATGTTCTCTTTGGGGTTCAGCAAAATAACTTTTAACTATGGTGTACTTTTTTTGTAGGTGGTTGTGACTTTTCATTGTGGCAATATTTACACAACATAGAATCTGCCATTTTAACCATTGGTAAGTGTACCATTCAGTGGCATTAACCACACTCATGTTGTGCAACCAATATTGCTATCAATTTCCAAAACCCTCTCATCACCCCAAACAGAAGCTCTGAACCCATTAAGCAATGATGCCTGCCAGCCACTGGGAATCTCTAGTCTGCTTTCTGTGTCTATGAATTTGCCTGTTCTAGGCATTTCATATAAATGGAATCAGATGACACGTGTGACCTTTTGTGTCTGGCTTCTTTCACTCATTGTCATGTTTTCAAGGTCCTTCTATGTGGTAGCATGAAACGGCGCTGCATTCCTCTTCGTGGTGGAATAACATTCCACTGCAGTACACGGCACATTTTGTTTATTCATCTGTTGATGGATGCCTGGGTTGTTTCCACTTTGTGGCTATTGAGAAAATATGGTGTCCTTTCATAGCCACGGGATAAAGAAGTGGAACTGTCCACTCTGGATAAAGCAGGCTAGGGGGGCCTTGACAACCGCAAGACCAAAAGGCAGAAGTGGCTGAACATGGGGCAGGAGGGAGGTTGTGGCCTTGAGGAGGGAGGGTCAGTGGAGAGGCAGGGAACCAGCTAATGTTAAGCCCTACGATGCAGCCTATCAGATGCTACAATACCAGCAACTGACGGAGCACGCGGCTCAGCGTGGTGTGCTTCTCAGACGTGCCCGATGGCTCTGGCTGACCCTGCCCTCTCTGGCTGTCCACCTCTGCACCTGGCAGGGGAGGTGAACCACAGAAGGTGATTCCTAAGGTCCCTTCCAGTTCTGACAATCAGTCCAACAAGACCTTGACCATGATGTGACTATATAGTTAACAGACTAATAACAGCCCTCTCTGGAGGGTGGAGAGAGAAAGGGGACTTTGGAGGGGATGAAGGTCCAATTCCTCCAGAAGGAAGACATGGTGCTCACTGCAGAAGAGGGAGTTATGGCAAGGCTGCACCTGAGTGCCCCGCTGCCCACCCCAGAGGCTTGGCTCCCAGTGAGTGTCAGGGAGGAGTCAGAGAGGCTCAGCAGATGTGGGAGAGGCAGATCTGCCCCAGGGATGAGTGCTTCCTGGGGGCCAGCCTGGTGCGTCAGGGAATTCTGAAACCACTGGTGAAGAAACTGAGGAAAAGGCCTGATGGGCACGGCAAACAGGAACATAAGTGGTTTCTACCACAGACCAGAATGACCCGGAGCCAGGTCACATTGAGGGACACAGCCTGGACAGGGGACACAGCACGCCTAAGAGATATGGGAGAAAAACTCAGAACAAGAGCCACATTTCTGCCGCCAACACCAGCCGGCTGTGTGGCCCGCTTGGAAACACCGAATCACTCTGGGGCCACACTCCTCACCTATGTGCTGGGTGGCTCAAGACCTATAATCTCTGAGGTCCCCTCCAGGGAAAATTCCAGAGCACATGGGAGCACCACAGTGTGTGTCGAGAGAGACCTCCCCCACGCCCATTCTCTCAGCAAATATTCACTGGCCACTGCTCTGTGCCAGGCTTGGTGCTAGGCGCCCTTCCTTCCTTGTGCATAACATGAACAGGCGCAGCAGCCACAGCATCTTCTGGTTGCAGAGATTTGCCAAGGGCAAGTTAAAGCAGCCAGTGAAGAACAGGTTCCCACGGACCATTTGCCCACCTCCAGGTGAGCTTGCTGCCAATGCCAATGGAGAGGTGTGGCTGGCATCAGGCACTCTCCCACCCCTGCCAAGCACAATACTTGGGCCCCTTCACATTTCAGGCCCCTGCGTAGGGCCCCTACCAGGGCTGAGACAAGCGGGAAGAAGGTGGCTGCAACCCAGCTGTCAGCTACACTCACCTTTACGCAGGAGTAGATCACAGACACAAACACCACCAAGGTCAGCAGCAGGGAACAGGTCAGGTAGAAGCTGAGCATGAATACTGAGCTGGAGGGAGAGAGGAGGGGAGGGAGAAGCCAGGCTCAGGTGGCAGGGCTGCAGCTTCTGGGGGGCCTGCCTGACAAGCAGGCCACAGGTCCCCCGTGCCCATCCTCACAGCTTCAGAGGGCCTGGGCTCTGAAATCCGGAGAGGGAACCTGAAGTTGCTCCATCTCCCCTAATCCACTGCCCAGCCTTTTGCACTGACTGCCTGAGCAGGGCTTACACAGCCTTGCAGGTGGATTCTGGAGCCCTCCCCATAAGGGTATGGTTCCCTCCCTTTCCGGTGGGGACAGCAGCCCACAGGAAGCTGAATGGAGAACCAGGTGACACCTGATAGGTAGTTTGCCTAGTTCTCAGCTATTCACTGATGTGCTTCATTTAGCTTGGAAGAACCACCTGGTGATTCCCTCCAAGTGGTCACTCACGGCTCCATAAACAACTGTGAAGGCTGAAAACTGATTGGATCAGTGGCCTTCATTTCTAGAAATGCCTTTGTCAGCAGCACAGCCAGTCACTCTTTGAGAAACAGGGGTGACTGTCTCTTTAGAAGGGCAGAATCTCTAAGCCCCACCCCCTTTCCACTGCCAGGTCCCAAAACAAGTCTGTGGGACTGCCAGGTCCCACAGTTTTTGCTCCTCTATTCCTAGCCAGTTCAACAAGAAAAATGCAAGGATTTCCCTCTGCCCCTCCTTTCAGATGCAGATCACAGGTGACCTTCAGAGCCACCGCGGGTGGCCACCCTCAGACAAAAGAGCTGTAAGTGACTTTCCATCCGGAACTTCCCATTGGCCCTCCTGGGGCAAGGGCTGGCCTGGAGACAACATACCCCGCGATACCACCAGGTGGCTGTTCAAGGGAGGAAGAGTGGCCTGAAGATGCCAGGTGTTGTTACGGGGTTAAAAGCCAGTGGGGGGCGTGAGAGGCAGGTGAACACCTCTAGGGAGGATTCAAACAGCATCTTTGTTCCAGGCCTCCACAGAAGCCAGCACTTAGCTGCCTTCAACAAATGGAACAAGAGAAACGAATTCTCTTCAGAGGAAAAGAAAGACCTTTAGAGTGGCTTTTAAGGCTTTCCTAGAGAGGAGGTGGCTAGAGAATGACCTCTGCCAATGTCTAAGCCACTTGGAGGGAATGAAGCCGTTGCAGGCAGGGCAGGTAACTGAGACGACCCAGCCCTCAAGACGCTGCAGAGAAGGAAAAGCAGCAAAGAGGCAGGACTATGCACTCAAGCTACAGGGACTGTCAGTTACAATGGGATTATAAACCAGATTGCTTTTTTTTTTTTTTTTTTGGAGACAGAGTCTCGTTTTGTTGCCCAGGCTGGAGTGCAATGGTGTGATCTTAACTCACTGCAACCTCTGCCTCCCAGGTTCAAGTGATTCTCCCACCTCAGCCTACCGAGTAGCTGGGATTACAGGTGTGCACCACCACGCCTGGCTGATTTTTGCCTCACCACGCCTGGCTGATTTTTTGCATTTCCACTGTGTTGGCCAGGCTGGTCTTGAACTCCTGGCCTCAAGTGATCCACCTCCCTTGGCCTCCCAAAGTGCTGGGATTACAGACGTGAGCCATTGTGCCCGGCCTCCAGATTGTTTCTTGATACTTGTGGGTCCACATCAGTACAGAAAGATGGGGTTTTATGCCAACAAGGAGCCCAGCTCTGCACAGCCTCAGTGCCGGTGTCAACCAGGGTGGAGCTGGCTGCCAGTGCCTGGTTTTCACCTGTGGCATCCAACAGAGTCACGTCAGATACAAATGTAAGGGAGATCTTTTCATTCTTTTAATAATGTTGTTAAAAATAAAATACACGTCAACATCATGTACCTCCTGCTATGGTACACGGAGAAGGACACATCATCACTTCAGTGGGAGCCTTGCCAAAATCTAATCATGAAAAAACATCAGACGCACTCAAATGGAAACTACAAATTAATTGGCCGGTACTCCTCAAAAGTGCCAAGGTCATGAGAGACAAGCAAAGGCTGAGGAACTATCACAGATGGGAGGGGATGGAGGACATGAATTAACTACATGTGACACGGGATCCTGAAAAGGCTCCGGGAACACAAGCTGGATAGTGAGGGGAAAACGACGAATTAGAATAAGGTCAGTAGATGAGTTAATAGTATCATTTTAGTGTTGATTTCCTGGTTTTGATCATTATACTGCAGTTACAGAAGTTGTCAACATTCGGGGAAACTGGATGCAGGACGCACAGAATCCCTCTCAGCTACTTTTGTAACTTCTCAAATACCATTATTTCAACATGAAAAACAGAAGGTACTGGCTTTGGGGACTCTTTAGATGAAGCAAGGCTTAGAAGATATAACCAAATTCAATCAGTGGATTTTGAGTAGATCTTGGCTACAAATAAAACTAAAAGTAGAAGACATTTTGGGGGACAGTTTGGGAAATTTGGATATGGACTGGGTAGTAGGTGATAGTAGGGAATTTATGTTAATTTTTTTGGTATATAAAGTATTGGGGTTAGGGAGGAAAATGTCCTTAAATTAGGTGTACATTGAGGTTTTTATGGGTAAATGTCTTTATGTCTAAATTTACTTTAAAACAATCAGAATAAAATAGATGAAACAAACACTGCAAAATATTAACAGTTATTCTATCTAGGGATGGGTACTGATTAGATTAATTACTTTTCTGTGCATTTGAGGAATTACATAATAAAAAGTAAAAATACGTATTTATGCATACACTTATGTATGTGTGTACATATATGTATAGGTGTATGTGTATAGGTGTACATACATAAGGCAATTATGTTTCTCTTCCCAAGTGAGACTCTAATGTGAATGACAATTTAACAAACACCTCATTTCCAGAAGCCCTGCATACTTCAAAGTACCCCCCACAGAAGCCACAGGCTTTCTCAGTGACACAGCCAGTCCTCAGAAAAGTTCAGAAACACCTCTTTGTGAAATACTTTCAGAACTTGAAATCCATTCTTAGAAATATTCACAGTAGTAGAAAACCTGCATCTTTTGAATATATATGTATTTTTTTTTCCAAGAACTAAAGGTTACACAGAAAGCGGCCCAGGGAATACTTTGGGTGACTCAACTGTCAGTGGTGGGGTGGGTTAATGGGACGAGACAATTAAGTGATAAAAAGGCATCTCTTGACCAGGCACAGTGGCTCACACCTATAATCCTAGCACTTTGGGAGGACAAGGCGGGTGGATTGCCTGAGCTTGGGAGTTCGAGACCAGCCCGGGCAACATGGTGAAACCCTGTCTCTACTAAAATACAAAAAATTAGCCAGGCATGATGGTGGGTGCCTGTATTCCCAGCTACTCAGGAGGCTGAGGCAGGAAAATTGCTTGAACTCGGGAGGTGGAAGTTGCAGTGAGCCAAGATGCAGTGAGCCACTCCAACCTGGGCAACAGAGTGAGACTCTGTCTCCCTCCCCCTAAAAAAAGCATCTCTCGTACAGCTAAGCAGCGACCGGTGAGAAGTCGCCCATCCTGGAATGAGCACATCATCTTCCTACCCAGAGAGGTCAGAGCCCTGGCTTCCTATCCCACTGAGAGCACACTCAGAAACTTCTCTCCCTGCCTAAGCAAGTGTAGGCCAGACTCCCTGCTCTGTTCTCCTAAATGACCACCCCCTCCCAACCCTGGGATTCCCTGCAGCCAGAGGAAGGAGCCCAAGAGGGCTGGGGATACTCACTGGGGCACGATGGTGATCTGGACAAAGCAGATGAAGAGGAAGACGAGCGAGGCACACGCCACATAGGCACCAAATCGGTCGTCTACCTGCTTGGAGTACTGAGAGGAGACGGGCATGGTGAGAAGGGCCAAGACACCTGGCCCAGTCCACTCCAGCCCTGTCAATCCCACACACCCAGGGCAGCCACTCAGGGCTGGTCACCTGTGCAGCCCACTCCCACAACAGGGAAGACCCGAGGACCAGAGCCAGACTTAGACCCCAGGAAACCATTCCAGATCACCAGACGGTGGTGCCTTTGGAGAGGGCAGTTGAGAGGGATCTGAAACCTTCTGCAGGTGGGTCACCTTCAGAGTAATCCATACTGATCACGGCTGTACATGACTGCACACCGCTAGGAAACATGCCAGGTGTCTACAGGCCTCATCCAGCACCCCCACAACAGCCCGGGAAGTCAGAATATAACGGCTGTCATTTCTTCTTCAGAGATGAGCAAGCTGGGCCTCAGAGAGCTCAACAAGACTTGTCCGAAGTCACATCTGAGGCTCCTCACCCCAGCTCCTCCCATGATACCAATCAGCCACACTGATGGAGGTTGGGCTGGCACAGTCACCCAAGTCAGGTCCATACACTGCTGGTCCCTTTCCACAGCTCCACCTCGCTGATTCAGTGTGCTTGTCTGGTTGAATGCTGATGAGCATACCCCAAGTCCACTTTAACTGAACCCTGGGGAGACGCTGCCACATAGTGCGAAGAGAACTGACTGGACCGGGATCTGGCTCCAGCTCTGTCGCTGCTTCACTGGGTGGCCGAAAGCAGGTCCCCCAACCACTCTGGGCGTTAGCTTTCTCATTCACAATGTGAGGAAATGCAACAGAGAGATCTTGACTATCCCTGCCAACTTTACCACCTTGAGGTCTCAATGTGACAAAGCAGTTGGGCTATCCATCGACAATGATAATAACAATAATGCAAATAGCAACGAATATGCACCGAACGCCTACTATGCGACAGATACCGTGTCATACATAGAAACTCTGCTGGGCATGGTGGCTCACGCCTGTAATCCTAGCATTTTGGCAGACCGAGGTGGGTGGATCACCTGAGGTCAGGAGTTCAAGATCAGCCTGTCCAACACAGTGAAATCCCATCTCTACTAAAAATACAAAAATTAGCCGGGAGTGGTGGAGGGTGCCTATAATCCCAGCTACACAGGAGGCTGAGGCAGAAGAATCACTTGAACCCAGCGGGAGGAGGTTGCAGTGAGCCAAGATCAAGCCACTGGACTCCAGCCTGGCCAACAGAGTGAAACTCCATTTCAAAAAAAAAAAAGAAATTAATTTCATCCTCACTATAACCCTATGAAGTGGGAATGTTAACTACCCCATTTTCTAGATAATGAAACTAAGGCACAGAGAAGTTAAGATGTATCCCTTCCAACCAGGGAAGCCTCCCTAGAACTCACATCTTCCTAGGCAGTGCAGCATCAGAGCTGGGGAAACTGAGGCCACCCCTTCCATGGTGCTGGGGGCGGGACGGAGCTGTACTGTTTCCTTGCCCTCCTCCTCCTGGTCCTGATTCAGTACAGGGGCCTCCTTCCCACCCAGGGTGCTGTACCTTCTTCTCTAAGTCAGGCTCCCTGAAGGTCAGGAGGAACTTGCGGACGTGCTCAGACCGAAGCCTGTCAATGCTCCTGGCGTCAATGGCGCGGCCCAGAAACTCATCCACTTCATCCTCAGGGTTCGCACTCTCCTGGGCATTCCTGGGGAGCAGAAGCCACGGGCGTGAGACAGGCTGACCACAGGGGCACCAGCAGAGGGCTGGCTCTTCCGACCATCCCCCCAGACGCTCAGAGAGGCCCGGCAGCTGTCCACCATCAGCCCAATCAGGGCAGCGGGAGCTGAGACTGAGACCAGAAGCCTAAGCCCAGCTCTTAACAATTGCACAGGTGAACAGACAACTGCCCAAGTCTCAGCCCTTCCGGCTTAAGGGGGTTGTTGACAATAGGCTTTTCTGACTCTGTTAACATATTACACTAGCATAACAATGTGAGCTACCATTGATGGTTTAATTGGACTTTCCCTACAGCTAACAGGCTTTGCTCTTTACCCTCCAGCTCTGCTATCCTCCTGAAAAGAAGCCCTAGATCGGGCAGCGAGAGTTTCTGCGGGTTTCTGCCACGGGGACTGTGGCCCACCTGGTTTCTTTCACCCAGCTCAGGGCACTCTTGAGAAGCAGGTTTCATATAGACTTGAGTGCTGACCTTCAACACCCTGTTTCTCAGGGTAAAGCCCAGTCCTGGAGTGGAATTTCTGACAGTCGTGAGAACCGGAAGTGAAGGAGGGAGACATGGGCATTGCCTCGGGGCACTGGATGCCAGGCGCTGCTGACCAGTGTGTAAGGTCTGCACTTTCCTGAGGGAGCCCATGTGTGTGCACACATGCACGTGCATGTCACGGAGACAAAATGGGCAGTGCTGAGCCCTGTCCTTCTGCTGCGTGGCCTGGGTTCCTGGGCTGCCCTAGCCTGTCTGGGGCTGCTGCTGACCACCTGACGGCTAGGGGGGGCTCCATTCACTCTCAGCGAAGACTGCAAGAGGGGTCATTTTCCATGGAGTGTGGAGAAACCAAATGATAAGGTGGATTGGGAGATATCCCCTAGACCTGGGAGCAGGAATAAGGAAGGGCATATTACTCACTTGTCCTTGGGGTCTTCAAAGCCCTAAAAGAGGATAGAGAGAGAAAGAGAAGAGAATGAGAACAGAGAGAACCCAAAGCTCAGAGGCTTCTAAAAGGCTGCAGCTCATCTCTCTACAGTCTCCCAAAGGGCGTGGACACAGAGAGGAGTGTCACTCAGGACCTCCTTCCTTCCTCCCTCCGTTTGTCCCTTCCCTGGCAGTGTGGAGCACTCTGCTGGGCAAACAGAGTTCGGCAAACACTGGGTGAACCCAAAATCCAAATGAACACACCCCTCTTCATTCCCAATGAGGACACAGTTTGAAAAGACAAAAAGAGGGATTTATGTTCCTCTCCATGAGCCAGGGCTATCAGGCACTGAAACAGACATGGGGCCCTGGTGGCACACAGACTCTACCCCCAGCTCTACCCCTCGCTGAGAGGAGCCTCAGCAGCCTCTGCAGTCACCTCCAAGTGACCAACTATGGGCTCTGAGCTCCTCCCAGGCTGCCAGCGCCAGCCCAGGATGGCCTGGTAGTTGTCTGCCTAGGCAAACTGCACCCTTCTCCTTGTCCTCTGAGAATGGCCAGACCCTCCCTCCAGGCTATAAAGTGGTCCCACGTCACCATCCCAGCCCTGGGCTGGAGGCAGAGATGTCACTCAAGTGAGCACTCCCTCCGGGGGGCAGGCCTGTGCCTGATGCTCCCAGGATCCCTCAGAGCACAGGCGTGGTGGGCAGCGGAGAGCTGGACAGGCGAGCTTCCCACGGAAGACCCCCTGCAAGGGGCTGGCCCACTCAATTCCATCCCAGGAGCTGGTAAAAATTCTACTACAGAACCGAGAAGAACTGAGCTATATTACATGCATGCTGGTCTCTACGACTCAAAAATAGGCCGAAATGTTGTGAATAAGCCTGTTCTGGCTTTTCCCGATACTCCTTTGGTCATCTGTTGAGGCTGGTGCAGGGGACCCAGTTTTTCTTCCTGTGCTGAGTGGGGGGCCGGGATCATCCTAACCACACTGCTTGTCATGTTGGTGTGGAGAGCTCAGTGCCAGGTCAGTATGGCAAGTTGGTAACAGGACAGATAACACTGGTCCACAAACCATGGCAGGGGGACTGTTAAGAACATAACGGGCCGGGCGCGGTGGCTCAAGCCTGTAATCCCAGCACTTTGGGAGGCCGAGACGGGCGGATCACGAGGTCAGGAGATCGAGACCATCCTGGCTGACACGGTGAAACCCCGTCTCTACTAAAAAATATGAAAACTTAGCCGGGCGAGGTGGCGGGCGCCTGTAGTCCCAGCTACTCGGGAGGCTGAGGCCAGAGAATGGCGTGAACCCGGGAGGCGGAGCTTGCAGTGAGCTGAGATCCGGCCACTGCACTTCAGCCTGGGCGACAGAGCGAGACTCCGTCTCAAAAAAAAAAAAAAAAAAAAAGAACATAACGGAGTGGACTGGGCTCAAATCCCGCCGCCTACTTACTCTAACAGTTCCAGGACAGCGGCTACTTGGCCTCTCCCAGTCTGCCCACACTCCCTCCTGCAGCACCCGGGCCCCACCCTACTGGCCATTCCTGGGTTTGGTGAGAGGAGCTCGAGCCCACATGTGTCCTCCCACTGGCAACCTTTTTATTAATAAATAACCTTAAAGACCTTATGACACAAGTACCTAAGCATCAACCAGCACGGCTCATCACTGTGTTTTAGAAGCTGGGTAAAAGCTGGAAAAAGATTTAAAAGGCACTGCTGACTCCGAGTTCAAACCTTCTAACAGCTCTCGGTCACTACTGTGTGCTCCTGGGCCCCCATTCCCCCTTCAGTGGACTATTTCTCATAAAACTCATCCAGTATGGGCAGCTCAGGGTGAAAGCTTGCCTTCTGTGGATCTCTCTCCAGGATTCCAGGCACGTGTAGCACGGAAAGCCCAATGGCCCTCGTGGCAGCTGCAGAACCTGTCTCCATCCCCAGCCTAGATATTCCCACTGGCCATGCTGGAGTGGCGCCCAGACGCTGGTCATTGGTGGTGGTCCCCTCAGGGGACACCGGGCCCAGCCAGGACAGGAGCCTCTGTTCCCACAGCCCTGTTCTTCTGCACTCCTTCCCCTCCCTGCTGGGCAAAGCGACGAACGCCATGGAGGAGACTTCCTGGCAGCCTCCTTCTCCAGAGACTGTCCCTTCGCCATGACAGTCCTGACTGAATTCTTCCAAAGTTCCTTGTCCTAATGATGAACAATATATCTGCCAACCCGGTGCCTACAGTCCAAACTATCTCCTTTAAGACTTCAAGATAACTAAAGATACAGCTTATATCAAACATCACTAAAAAATAACTTTCCAAGAATTCTAAACAGAAAGAATCTCTCACCACCAGTCCTGCCTCCCTGCCAGTTGCTCCCTGCCCTTCCCCGGCCACCTCTCTGCCTTCCCTTCCTCCCCATCTCCCTCCCCTACTGCCCAGCTTCCCCTCCACTTCCTGCTCAATGCTCCATGCCTCCTCTCTGTCGGTTCTCCTGCCCCTCTTTGCTATCCCTGCTCTCAATCCTTCCCCCTTTCCCCCTTTCTCTCTTATCTTTATTTTGAGATAGGGTCTCGTTCTGTCCCCCAGGCTGGAGTGCAGTGATCATGGCTCACTGCAACCTCAACCTCCTGGGCTCAAGCCATCCTCCTGCCTCAGCCTCCCAAATAGCTGGGACTGAAGGAGCGTGCTACTATGCCTAGCTAGTTTTCCTTGTTATTGTTTGTAGAGTTGGGGTCTCACTATGCTGCCCAGGCTGGTTTCAAACTCTTGGCTGCCCTGACCATGTGGGTACAGAGTCTCCAGGAGACTATCAAAGGGCTGGGGTGACAATGGGGAGGGTCGCCAACTGCTCTTTGCTCAGGGGAGGGAGGGTGGTGGCTGGAGCCTTTAGTGACACTGACCAGGTCTGTGGAAAGTCAGGTTTGGAGCCCTGGGGAAGGCCAGGTTTCTCCACTCTGCTGTCTGGTAACCCAGGGCCCCCCCTCCAGAGGTGTCTCTGCTGTCAAAATGTTAAATGGGGGTCTTGGCTCAATTCACTTTTCCTCCTGTACATTTTCCTTAAACTTATATCATCTGCTACTCGTTGGCTAATAAGGAGCAGAGCGACTGGGTCCCTGCCTGTCCCCTCCTCCAGGCTCCTGGCTCTTGTCTGCTGACTCCGCTGGATGTCCACAGAGTCCGCCTCTGATCCCTTCTGCCACAACCTCAACCGAGTCCGCTCCAGAGAGCCCAAACTTAGAGCTACTTGTGCAACATGCCCCTCCTTTGCTAAGTGGCCACACAGAAACACACACACACACACAGACACACACACAGAGTCCCTGAGCCATCCCTCGGCCCTTCCTGGCGTGGGTGACTCCCATCTGGGAACCTGGTGCCCCTGAGCTGAGCAGCATGCCTGAGGGGCAGAAGCCAAGCTCTCAGACAGAAGGAGAGAAAACGCCACCACGGCAACGTGGCTTCTTCCTCCTCTTCCCACCGAATCCATTCCTGTCATTGCTGTCAGAGCCCAGGCAGTGCATCCTGAATTCACCTGTCCCGGTGTGTGCAGGTCCCTGGAGGTGGGGCTGACACCCAACCATGGCCTCCCCAATTTGCTCAGGCCCTGTGCTCCCACTGGAAGGCTGGCATTAGTGGGGGGTGTTTCTCAGCACAGAGGGCAAAGGGGACCACCACCTGGCACTTCCCAGAAAACACTAGGATAGTTTCTGAGCAACTCAACCAAAAGATGTGGTTTCACTTGCCTGGGAAATGCAGGAGGTGCTGGAAGAGGGTATGACAAGCTGGTGCCCACCCAACTCCCCAGGGCCTCACCAGACAGTGCCAAGAGACAGCTGGAGGCTGTTGCTGGCCGAGTCTAGCCAGACATGCCTGCTTCCAGGCTGTGCCGCAAGCTCTGCCAAGAGGGAGGGAGGAAGGGGTGCTGCCAGTCTGTTCCAAAGCCTAATGAGGCATGCCATGGGGTGATGGGAAGAGCTTGGGGCCAGAAGCAGGTGCCCTACTCCTAGTCAAAGTTGGGGCAAACCGCACTTCCATTTCCTTGTCTGGCTCCCCAGATTCCCTTGGGCAACACGAAGTGTCTGGTGTGGGCCTCGCGTCCACAGAAGGCCCTAGCCTTGACGAGTGTTGCCCACAGACTGCCCCACCAGCCACTCACCATCCGCTTCATCTCCTTGGACACCTGGTTGCCACCCAGGTGGTTGTAGAAGGGGCGCTCAGCCCCCCAGTGAGGTGGGTTGTGCCCGATGGAGTTGGTTCTCTGGCGGTTCATCTTGGCGATCATGGCCTTCTCTTCTTTCTGGGAGATGAACATAGATGCATCAGCCTGCAGGCAGGGTCACCTAACGAGTCCAAGTGGCGAGCTCCTCACCCTCCCCCAAACACGGTACCTGGCCAGGTAAGGGGCTAAGGCAGCTGCCCTTTCCTCTCGGCAAGCCCTGGAGCCCAGAGCTCTGCCCGGATCCTGGAACATCCCAGGCAAGCATCCTGGATCCCTCCAAACTCCCTACTGCCAGCCCTGGCTGGCTCAGATGGCAGTGGCAAAAGATGATGAGAGTTGGTCTTGTGAGAAAGCAAAGGGCTTGGGAACATCTGCCATTTGCAAAGAGTTCTCCCTATAAGTTTGACTATAAGATTCCATCCTGGGTGCCCTTCTCTCCTCTGGATGGCCTAGGCTCCCAAAGGCCTGAGCTGTTGCGCTCGGCTGCCCGCAGTGTGCTTCCTCCCCCTAGTCCGGGGGGCAGGGCGATCAGCGAGGGCTGAGCTTGGGTCTCCCAGGCAGCCAGGCCAACTCGTGCCTACGCCTCCCAACTTGGTCTCTGGCAGGCTGTGGTGTCACGTCAGGCTTTGCTCTTGGGCAGGCCAGGGCTCAGGGCAGGGTAGGGCTCTAGCTATAGCCTCAAGGGTGGGTGGGGCCTGATCTGAAGGTGCCCAGGGGGTGCCAGAGGGAGAGACTTGGGATCACAACCTCTGCTCAACTTCTCCAAAATATGCTATAACAGAGAGGGCACCAGGACTCGCCTGGGGCCCAAGAGGGCACTTCCAAAGAGGTTTGGGTCAGTGAAGTTATGAGATTCAAGAGCTGACAGGCATTGTACAAATACACGGAGTCTCAGTCTATGGGCCAACACACTCCCCAGGATCTTGTCTATCTGTCTGTCTATCCATCCAAATGGGTGCAAGAGAGCTGGAGACCTGAGGCAACCCTCCCCTCAACTCCCTCCCTTGTCAGATAAGGTGACGGTGGGAACACACAGCCTGCTTCAGCTGACACTGCTGGTGAGGGGGTGCCTGTCACTCTTTCTGTCTCCATTTCATCCTTTTTGGACCACTTGTCCAGCTAGAAGAACCAAGAGCCAGAGAACTCAGGGTCTAGGACAGGAAGCTGTGGGAGGCCTTGCGACTCAGGCGCCGAGAGGAGAGATGTGGGAAAGGGCCCGGAGGACCCAGTTCACTGATACTGTGGCCAAGGAACTGGCCAACGCTTACAAACGTGTCAAGGAAACCATGAGGAACTGTCCCCACAGGGCCCTGAATCTCCCGTCCCTCTTCCTGGTGCCTGTGGAGGGTCTGACACAGCTCCCGTGAAGAGCCCCTGCAGCCAGGATCTGTCCCCTGGGACACTGCACAGTAGGATACGGTGTCCCTCTGATGTCCCCCTGGGCACGGGCACCTGCCCTCAACAGCCCTGCCTGCCGCCCTTTAAAAATCGCCTTTGCTGTCATCCTAGACTCTCTGAACTCTTCTCACAGCTTAATTCTGTCTTTCATTTCACTTCTTAGGAAGAGAAATGAGGAAGCTTTTCTCTATCAAAGGGCACTGACCGACAGATAAATTCAAAAGAAAGACTCATAAGTAAAAGGCATTTTAGTTTAGGAAGACATAGAAAATGTTCTCTTGATTTGCTTTAAAAATTAAGAACATGGAACATGACACTATTAAAAATAGAACACTGGAGTCTGCTAATAATTTAGCTTTCTATTTCAGCAAGTGTGGGCTGAGACAAAGGGGGAAAAAGAAAGAGACTAGAAAGGGAAAGGGGAAAATAGGTTCAAGAAACAAAGATACATAGGCACATGTGGAGATGAACTCCCATCTATGGATCAGAGAGGGAAGAGATTAGGACAAGTGTCCACCCAGTAAAAGGCAAATGAAAAGGAGAGAGATGGAGATAAAACATACGGTATCCACAGACTCCCTTGATGCTGATCTCTGGCTTGTGGACTTTTGATGTCTTGTTGCTAATTGGAGGTCTGTTGCATTTTTGCAAAAGAAGCAATATTAAAAGATTCCCTCTTTACCATCCTTTTTGCAAGGCCTAACTGCCGGGGTCCTTTTTAAGATGCGGGAACCACAACGGCATAAGAAATTCATGACTTCACTCAAGGAAAGAGAAGGAAGCAGCAGGCCACGAACATGTTCCTCCCTGGAGGAAGGGAGCCCCTCAGCCCACCGGCCCCCCCCCGCCCACAGACCCGCTTCTGGGTGCAGCGCAGGATGAGGAAGGTCTCGATACTGTGCTCCTTGAGGTAGGCGTTGCGCTCGCCCCCACAGCCTGGCTCCACCTCGTAGTCCCCGTTCAGGTAGTTGAGTGTAGCCTTGGTGATGTGGATGCGTCTACAGCAGGGCAGGGATCAGGGTGGAGAGGGCAGAAAATGCAAAGTCACAATGTCAGCTCCCGTGAAAAACCAAACTGCAATGAGTGGATTCATCACAATTGAAACCCTAGGGCCCCAAGCTCTGCTCAAATCCTAACCTCAACCTTGCATGGTACCCTCCATTACTATCAAGTGGGCTCTCGTGTCCACTGCAACCATACTATCTCACACTGAACATCCTGGCACAGACCGCTACATTAGCGTGCCCAAGAGAACATGGCCACCAGTCTTGCAAACTTTGCAAGCCTCACACTCCTGCTCAGAAGCCAGCAATGGCTCCTGCACGCGACAGGATGGAGTCCAAATTCACAAGCCTGGCACTCATGCCTTCTGAACACAGGCACTGTTTCTCCTAGCCATCCCTAAAAGGCCATCTGCTCTTCTCCCATTCCTTGGAAATGCTGTGTTTCCCACACCTGTGCCTCGCCTTGCTGTGTTCCCTCTGCCTAGCAGCAGGCTCTTCCCACCCCACCTGCCTCACCCCTCCCAGTCCTGCCTCCTTTACGGTCTAGTCATCCCAGAAACTATCTGTGCTTCCTCCCTCCTCCAGAACTCTATCACACCTCACCAGCCACTACAGTTTGGCTCAATATCTTCTGGGCCAAGGCTCAGGGAAGGGTGACATGATGCTCCCACAACTGACCAATGGTGGCACAGGAGATTTGGCAAGTAGGGGAATTTCTACTTCCACTATGCTCACCCCAGCCCCACCAGGTGCTTGCTACCCATCCTGCCCACACCACCCTGCCCCACCTCGCCTCTGCAGGATGGTCACCCTGGGTGGGCTTGAGTGGGAACCCAGGTTGGGGCCCTGAGCCACCCACAGCCTTCACTCACCCCGCCTTGCCGCCAGCCTCCATGTGGTTGGCTAGCGTGACGTCGTTAGACCAGACGTCGAACTGCCACTTCCTTAGACCAAGGACACCGCAGTGTACTCGCCCGCTGTGAATTCCCACACGCATGTTCACGTTCACCCCTGTCACCTCCCGGACCAACCTGGGGATGGAGCAGGGGTAAGGCTGGGAGAAGGCTGGAGGCTGGGCACACAGAGTGGGGGTGAGGCTGCAGGTGCAGGGAAGGGTGAAGGTGCAGGGGTCAAAGAGTCTTCCTTCTCCCATCCAGCCCTAGAGTCCAAGAATGTTCAGCCTGAAGGGCACTGGGGTGGGCAGCAGGTGCAGTCGGCTGTGAATGGGGCTGTTCCCGACTTGGCCACAAGGTGGCGCGGCGCCACACTAAAACCCAGAGCCCTGCTGCTTCCCCTCCAGGAGGGCACCTCTGGCCAGCACTGCCCTGTCAATTAAATTGTGATTGGAAAAATGCAAATGCATGTTAGGGCCAACTTGAATTAAACGGGGAAGTTACCACCACTCCACACCCTATATGTATAATGCTCTTGTGGGTAAGGCAGAAATGGCTTTTGGATTATCTGTTTATTGGATTTATCCATACTGCTGCTTCCAAGATGTTAGCAGGGTGATGGCAAAAGGTGGTTACCCAGGTTTCAAGGGTATGCCCTGCTCAGGAGGGAAGGGGAGCCTGGGCAGGAGCAGGGGCTTAGGGTGCTCCATGCCCTAGAGGAAAGCTTGGTACCGGCCACACACACCACGTATCCATATCTGGGAGGCCCCAGTAGACAGGGCAGGCCCTCCGTGTGCACTTATAACTCCTCATGCTAGGCAAGCAGTGGAGGCAGAGTGGGAAGGAAGCCATACATCTCCAGGTGCGTGTCTGAGGCCCATGGGAACCTGCCCAGCATTTGCAGGAGAGGGTGCAGGTGCCAGGAAGTGGCGTAATGGATGAATTCAGATTGCACTTTCTAGGGCCCTAGACCCTCCCTGACACCTGGGGCATGGGTGCACTCAGCCAGCCATGGGACCAGCAGTCTGACTTGCCCCAGTGGGTGGGAGCACCACTGAGACTCCCTGACCCCATCCCACGCCATCAGCAAGAGGCTGACACCCACTGCAGGGGAGACTGCGGTCATCCATCATTTCTCTTGTCCTGAATCAACTTGGTAAATACCTATACTGCAGCAGAACACCTTTACTGAAACACTTTCCATCCACAATGCCTTTGGATACTTGCTTAGCTTGACAATGGCTCATTCTGTCTTTTTGGCTTAACTCCACGGCCACCTCCTTCAGGCAAACTCTCTCGATCCTCTCAGTGGAATCAACTGTCCCCTCCTGGACCCTCCTACAATAGTCTGCCTCCCTTACCTCACTGTGTCCACATGACATGCCTCGTATCTGAGGACCAGGAGTCCTGGACTCTTTCCCTTAAGGCTCTGTGCTTCTGGGGAGACTGACTGTCTAGCTCAGGCATGCCGGGGACACTTGGCAAGTGCTGCGAGTAGAACTGAGCCAAACCAATGGACCCGGCCGCCTTCCTGGCCAGACACTCCCGTCTCTGACCTTGCCCTCTGTGCCTTTTTTCTCTGCCCCTGTCCAGGCTATTTGTAAAGCCCAAAGTCTCTGACTTGCTCCCTTGGCTGTCACAGAAGCTTAGACCATCCATGTTTTTCAATGACCAGGGCCCCTTCTGTGGCCAGTGGTAGCCATGAATTGGCCAAACTGCCTTTTTGCTATGGTTCACAGGCAGGGTGATTCTCTCTAAGCGGACCACCTGCATTTGAACCCACCTGCCTGGTGGTAGCACCCTGGGGAGTTGTCTAACCCCTGTGAGCCCAACCTTTCACATCTGGGAAGAAGCAGAACCAGCAGCTCGACGCCTGGCTGAGTGTTTGTAGGAAACGTGAGGCCCCGAAAGTGCAAGGGCCTCACACGGCACAGGGTCCTCACACGGCTGCCAGCCTCTCCTCCACTCCTGGAGTCTGCAGAGCCCTCCCTTCCCACACACTTCCTCTGGGAAAAGCTGCCCAGGCTGCTGTAGGGCACAGGAATCCTGGAGAAGGCAAAAAGTCTGGTGGCATACACCAACCCTCAGCTTGGCTGGGCACCTTTGGGAGATAGTTTCACCCCACTGTTTCCCTGCCTCCAACCAGGCAGCCGGCAGGTCAGTCAGTCGCTTAGGCTGTGGACAGTCCCAGGGAGGTAGACGGTACCCGGGGGCGGGCACTTACGAGATGGCCTCGATCATGTCCATGCCCATCTCCACGCAGCAGTGGGCGTGGTCAGCCCTTGCTTCAGGAAGCCCCGAGACGCAGTAATAACAATCCCCGAGGATCTTAATACGTAAACAGTGATTCTCCTGGAAAGCAAATTAATTTTACAAATTAAAAATAGTAGGAAAGAGAAGTGGGAGGAAAGACATGAAAAGCAAACAGATTCACCCCGTGCCTGGAATAACTTGCCTTTTAGGGCAGTGAGCGCAGGCCCAGGCCGGAACTCAGCATGGTCCCGGGACAGGCTTATCAGGAGACGTTGGGGAGGGAGGGATTGTGGGGATGGAGGGATGGGCTGGGCAGCCCTGAGTGGCATTCCAGCCTCCCAGACTCAGGAGCTCACTTTTAAAGATCCGCTCCAGAGCCCCAAGAGGAATTTGGCTGGTCGAACTGTGGCCCAGCCAGCAGGGTGGCCCTGTCAGCTTAAGGAAGGCCCCAAGCCCCAGTACAAGGGTCTCTGGTCCCCTCCATGCCCCAAGAGTCACTCTGATTCATTGCTTGAGATTCTATCAAAAGTTGCCTGATTCTCCTCCTTTTACAAAAAGACTGAAGCAGGGAGAAATGAGCTTTAACCAAAAGCTGGCTGACTCTCAGCCTGTCTGAGACTTTTATCCAAAAAGAATTTTGCTAAACTAGCAAGCACATGAGTGCCAAGAAACCAACAGAGCTGCTGCTGAGTGACAGGTGCCATGGGGCCACCTGCAGGCCACCATCAATCTGTAAGTGGGATTGTGATGGAATATCATTAATCCTCAATTATGAGCGGTCCAGCTCTGGATCCCAAAGGTAGTTGGGAAGCAGGGATTCAAGTGCCCGTGTGGCCTGGACTCGTTTGAGACTCAAGTGCCAAGCAGGTACTATTCACCTCATTCAGTTCAGTGATGAAACTCACAGATGAGTACATGTGCCCCACCACGGAAGCCCCCAGAGAGGCCCTGGCACTGGCTCCGACGGCACCAGCCTCTCTCATCAATAACCCGGCCTGCTGTCCTATGTGGGCCAAGGGGAATGTGTCCACCTGTCAGTGGCCACTGACATTTAATCACTCTACAAAGGCCTAGAGCTGGGAAAGGATAACGGAGGGGTGAATAGGGGCCTAAGGAATGAACGTGTAGTTCACCACTCCCTGCCATGGAGTGTTACTTCCAATTTATCCAAACGTTTCAGAGTCCTCTTTCTGGATGCCTCTAGGGAATGGCACACAGCCGCCTGCAGGCTAGCTGGGGACTCAGACTCATTCTCTTATCAGTCTGGCCAATCTCATCAGGAATGTGGCTTGATGGCACCTAATGTGCCCCCAGACAAAGAGCATATTCCCCTGAGGGTTTGGGCAGTGTGACCAGCAGCCTCACCACCCGCTTCCACAGATGGAAGCATGGAGGGCTCCCTACGCTCTCGCTTGTGGTCAGCGACAGTGCTGAAAGCAACTCCAGCTGAGTGTGTCTCCAGCGCCCAGGTAGGGCGTAAGGACACAGCCACAGCCTGAGGGGCCCCCTGCCCATCACCAGCAGGCTCTACCCAGCAGGGTACACCCAGGCATATGCCCATCTCTGGGGTTCAGCAGGTCCTCGACCACCACAGCTTCCCTCAACAGCCCAGGTCGGGCCACCCTAGCCCCGGCTCAGGGCGACTCACTGCGGCCAGCTTGTCGAAGCGGGCGAAGAGCTCGTTGAGGGTCATGACCAGTTCCTGTGCGGTGCACTGGGATGCCAGGCTGGTGAAGCCCTCGATGTCAGCAAACAGGATGCTGGGGAGACAGGCAGAGGAGGAAGACCCTGCTATAGGCTGAATCTTTGTGTCTCCCAGATTCATACATTACATTTTTTTTTCTTCATTTTTTTAAGAAGAGGTCTTGCTCTGTTGCCCAGGCTGGTGTGTGGTGGCATGATCAAGGCTCACTGCAGCCTCGATTTCTCAGGCTCAAGGGATCCTCTCGCCCCAGCCTCCCAAGTAGCTGGGACTACAAGAGTGTGCCACCCTACCTGGCTAATTCTTTTTTTTTTTTTTTTGGTAGAGGCAGGGTCTCGCTATGTTGCCCAGGCAGGTCTCAAACTCCTGGGCTCAAGCAATCCACCCACCTTGGCCTCACAAAGTGCTAGGATTACAGCCATGAGCCACTGCACCTGGCTGCATTAAATCCTAATGCCCAATGTGATGGTATTTGGTGAAAGATAATGAGGTCACAAGGGTGGATCCCTCACGAATGGATTAGTGCCCTTATAAGAAGAGACACGAGAGCTTGCTTCTTTGCTTTCTGCTCGCCACCTTGTGACGATATAAGAAGGTGGCAGTCAGCAACCTGAAAGAGGACCTTTGCCAGACCCTGATCATGCTGGCACCCTGATCCCAGACTGCCAGCTTCCAGAACCATGAGAAATACAGTGCTGCTGTCTGTAAGCCCCCGGTCTTTGGTATTCTCTTAGAGCAGCCTGAACGGACCAAGACAGACCTCCATGAGGGAGCAGAGGCAGGGTTTGCGGCCAGGGCCCAGCCTGGGGCTCCTTGGGCCCGAGAGGGCTGCCAGCCAGCAAGAGTGCTGGGGGCTCCACACGGCTGCTGGGCAGGGGACAAAGAGGCCCTGGCACTGGAGGGCCGAGGATGCTGCCTCTTTCTGTTGCTATCCTCCTTCTGTGCTCTAACTGCACCCTCCCCCAGCCCAGGAGGAAGGCAGGGGAGGGGCGTGAGGCCTGGGTGTGTGCCTTAGGAGGGTGCAGGACAGGGGGCCAGGCCCCAACTCCCAGTCGTCTCTCAGGCCTGCCCCCTTTGACCTCTGAGCACACCCCAAGGGCGCTGGGCCCGCTCCTGGGGAAGAGAGGACTTTGATGCCTCTGCTCCGGAAGGCATTTCAGGCCAGAATGGTGGCCCTGCAAACTCTGACTTCCCAATCCCACACAGAGGGGACTCTAGCCCTAAGCCCTCCATCCTGAGGGAGTCCTCTACCCCTACAAGAAACACAGTAAAAGAGGCCCAGGGAGGAGAAAGGAAGACACAGCCTGTCAGCGTCCCTGGAAGCCCCCACCTCCTCCCTCCCAGTTCCTCAGTGCACCAGCTGGTGATAGATCTTTCACCCGTCCCTGTGGCTTGTGTTGCCTAAGTTGAAAACATTTTCTTTCCTTTTCCTTTGAAACGGGGAAGGAAGACCCCAGGACCAGAATCTGTAAGGGCCCCTAAAGTTATTTTTCTTAAAAGGGACACAAAATCTAAAAACTGTGGTGTACTGAGATGCTCCTGGCAGCCAGGCCTGAGCGGGAGGCTTCCGACATGTCATCTCACTGAGTCCGCACAACAGCCCTGCAAGCGAGGGGTCAGTGTCCCCATTTCACAGACGGGAGCCAAGTCTCAGAGCAGCCAGGCAGGATTCCTCCTCCAAGGTCCGTGCTCCTCCCCAGGCACCTCGGGACTCCTGAGGCTCCAGAACCCAGTCTCAGTTTTAAAATTAATGATGGTGAACTAAACATATTTTGTCCTTTTATTCCAAAAATGTGTGCTGGTACATTAAACACATCTTTTTAAATTAAATATTGGGCTCACACCTACAATCCCAGCACTTTGGGAGGTTTAAGCGGGCAGATCACTTGAGGTCAGGAGTTCGAGACCAGCCTGGCCAACATGGCAAAACCCCATTTCTACTAAAAATACAAAAATTAGCTGGGCATGGTGGCACGCACCTGTAATCTCAGCTACTCGAGAGGCTGAGGCAGGAGAATCACTTGAACTCGGGAGACAGAGGTTGCAGTGAGCCAACATAGCACCACTGCACTCCAGCCTGGGTGACAGAGCTAGACTGTCTCAAATAATAAATAAATAAATAAATAAATAAATAAATAAGATACTGACAAATGATAATTGCATATATTTATGGGATGAGTGCAAAGTGATGTGATGATGTCACATATCCACCATGTGGAATGGCTGATTGGGCTAATCAGCAAATCCATTACCTCACATACTGCTCATTTATCCCTCCTGTCGTCTAACTGGAACACGGTACTCTTTGCTAAGCCTGTCTTGATATTCTCATGCTTTCACATCCAAGGCCCCGGAGAGTTGGTGCCTCCCAAGACAAGCCAATTCCCAGAGACAGTAAACAACTTGCCTTAGGGTGTGCCTTTCACACACAGACCAACCAACCCAGAGTCCACTGCTGACAACAATCCCTTGCCCTCACCACCCCAGGGACAGGCACCGGGGTCCCAGGCAACTTGGGACAGCCCCTACATACCGAGCCGGCGCAAAGACATGCTTCAAACCAGCCAAGCAGCTGCCTTGCTACCCTTCCTTCTCGCACAAACCACAATAAACGGCCCTGCTCCCTTGGCCTCCTGACTGCCCTGGTGCCTCCTCCTGTGGCCCCTGCATGGTGTGTCGCCTCCTCGTGGGAACTGTGAGTGACAATCTTAGCAGCAGTTCTCTCCCGATCTGTTGGCCTCCCCATCATAAAACCCACATTTTAAAACACACTACTTTAAGCTCACAGAAGTATTCATTCGTTCACACCTCACAACCACCCTTTCAGGAAATGAGGACACAGAAAAGTCACCTGGCCAAGGCCACACAGGCAACCTGGCTCCACACTTTAGGAGTTGAACCAATCAAGATGATGCTGTCTGTAGGTCCCACAGACATCTTAAACGGGTAAAGGCACTGTGAGGGAGGTGGGAGGACCTGTGGGAGCTGCTGCTGTGGTCCCGGACAGGTACAGGACCCCCCTGAGAGGGGTCACTCTCAGCGGCTGCTCACCAGCTCACACGAGGAGAGCCACAGGGCCTGTGGAAACAGGTTGGCCACCAGGAGTACATCCCAAGGCTTCGGCCAGGCTGTCCCACCTCCCAGGAGAAGTACAGGAGGGCAGCCCCCAGCCACTGCTGTTTCCCCAAATCCTGGCTCCTCTGGCCACTTCAATCCTAGCCTGGATCAACCAAGGCAACTGTAAGAGGGAGGTCAGAAAGAGTGGGAGAAATGGGGACAGGGACAAGAGATGGAACAAATGAGAGGGAGAGAAGAAAAGGTGAGGAGGTGGAGCAGAGAGGACAGGCCCTATCCTGCTAGGCCAGGGGACTCAGGACAGCAGAGAGCTGCTCCAGGGTGTGCAGCTATGGGATGGGCCCAGAAAATGAAAGGGAATTTGGATTCTCCATAAGCTGTGATGCCCGGTGTCTGGCGTGGCTGATGGGCCCACCACCCTGCCCAGAGGTAGGTACGCTGGCGTGTGCATGCCGGGGGGAGGGTGCCTGCAGACCCCCATCCTGGCCCACCCTCCGCCTCCCTGCCTCCCAGGTGGCTGCCCCCTCCAACCAGGGAGAAGGAGAAGGTCTTTCCCACAGTTTGTGAAAGCACCCCTTCCATAGTTGTTCTGAAGATTCTTCTTCCTAACTCAGGAAATCAACACCAAGGGAAGCTGGCGTCCGGATTGGCTGCACATGAGCCAAGGAGCATGTTCAGCCCCTGAACATGGCCAAGCATCCCCTTGGGGGATCCCCTTGGCCAACACCAGTACTTCAGACACAAAGCTGGCAGGCAGCATGACCAGTGGCTGGTCCAGCCCCGGTCTGAGGCTATGCAGCAAAGGCCTGGCTTTGGGGGCTAGAGATGCCCCCGGGGTAGGAAGGAAAAAGTCCCCTAATCCAGCAGAGGTAGGACTGCCACTGAGCAGGGTAACCCATAGCACCAGGCAGAGCAGAAGAGGTGAAGAGGAAGAGGGTTGGGTACCCCAGACACACGAGGCAGACGTATGTGGTCCCAGGGGCTCCACTGCACACCAGCCTCCTGTGCCTGCCTGGCTGACCCAGCCACTCAGGTGTGCCAGGCCTCTGCCCATCCGTGTACTGGGATGGCCAGGCCACGATCAACTCCTCCTCCACAGATGACCCTGCTGGACCTTGGCAAGCGCATTCTTCCACGGCAACTCTTGTCACACTAGACCATATGGTCCTGGGACCAGACATCTCATAGAATCACCTGGGAGCTTTTACCCAGATAGGCCCCCTACCCCAAGCCCCAGAGATTCTGACTTAATCGTCTGGGGTGGGCTCCACTGTTGGTTGTCTTTGTTCTGTTCTATTTGTAGCTTCCCTGGTGATGCACTATGCAGCCAGGGTTAAGAACCACCACACTAGTTTAAAGGTCGCCTCAAGAAAGCTTCTACCACCCCATGTAAATTTACAACCTCTCCCATCTATCTCCCTTCTCTACCATATTTTTCTCCACTGACTAGGCTGTGTATTACTGTTGTTTATTATTATGCCTCGGTCTGTCTCCTCTCACTCGAATGTAAACTCTTTGAGGGAGAGATTTTTTATCTGCTTGATTCACGGCTACATCCCAGCCCCTAGGAAACATGCAGCTGAATGACTGCCTGGATGTGGCGCGCCATGCCTACCTTGGCCTACCTTGGCCTCTGCTCTACACCCAGCACAACACCCAGACATGCAAAGTGCCCCTGGTAGTTCCCTCAGGCTGCTGTAACAAAGCACCACCAACCAAGTGGCTAAAAACAACAGATTTTTATTGTCTCGTGGTTCTGGAAGCTGGAGGTCTGAGATCAAGGAGTCGGGAGAGCCCTGCTCCCGATGAAACGCAATAGAATATCTCCTGGTGTATTCCTAGCTTCCGGAGGCACCTGGGCTTGCAGCCACATCACTCCAGTCTCTGCCTCGGTCCTCACCGGGCCTTCTCCCTGTGTCTGTGCTTTCACAAGGCAGTCTCTTTTTCTCACAAGTTCGCTGTTCCTATTGGATTAGGGGCCCA